AAGTACCATCTCTTAGTTACGCAAAGAGGTTTCCCTTACACAACTATGATTTCACCAACTGACATTTTTCTGAAATACAAAGACTTGAAGCTTGTCTGCTGTTTCAGGTCAATTGTATGAAAGGATGGTAAACAAGCCACTGAGCACAAAACCCCGGATTACAGTGCAGTAATCTGTGGGGCCTGGTAGAATCATTAGTCTTCACTTTATTCATTATGATATCTCCTTTACTGTGGACATGTAAAACTGGCATGTAACTCAATGTGATCAGGCACAGTCAACATGGGTTCACAAAGGGAAAGTCCTCGTAGCTAGTTTGAGATCCTTCAGTGATAAGGTCACCTGCCTAGTGAGTGAAGGGATGCCCTCTACTGTATAGAGGGCAGAGATTTAGAGATTGGCAACACATCTCCCCAGCACGTTTGTTCAAATCCTTGAAAGGCAGAATGACCGCTGGTCTCTCTCCCATAGACTTATTTCTTGAGTGGGCTGTTGGGGGGAGTGGTCTCCCTTCGGACCTGCACTGCAGACAGCCCCTCAGACCTAGATCTGAGCTCTTCACGCAGATTTGTATTCTATAGCCGCATCACAGAAAACCACAGAATTTGTCAGACAGGATTTCTCCTTAGTTAAGCCTCGTTGTTTTCCATGTCCCTCAGCTGCTTTTCACGAGAATCTGCTTCAAGACTCTGCCAGGCTCAGCGGTGCCGAGGGCAGCAGCCCCAGAGGGGAGCCTCCAGGCCCGGAAGCTGGAGAATCCCTCGAGCAGGAGCCTCAGCTCTGGGCGGCCAGAGCCCTCGAGGGAGCCCCGAGCCCTCGCCAGGCCTTGCCCGGGAACCGCAGCTCCGCTGAGGCGAGCAGGCATTCACAGGGGGCGGAGCGGGGAGGGCGGGAACAGCGCAGTCAGGGTGTGGTTTGGCGGTTGGCGCCGTTAGCGTAAGCGGGCAACGGGCGGGAGGGGGAGCTCTCGCCTCAGGGCCAGGGACTCGAGTGTCTTGGCCTTATGGAAAGGACGGCTCAAAAAAGGGGTTTGCGTGGTCAAGGAACTATCCTTGTGCTAAGACTGTGGTACCTGAAGGTACCGTACTGTTCGCATGCTGGGAAAGAAGCTATTGGGAAGGCAAAAAGATACCAGAAATGAGACAGCAATTTCAGGTTACATTCACACAGGAAGTGAAAAAGCCTCATGATGCTGTTCTCAACATATGACTTAGGTGTTCGCCACAAATAAGACAGACAGGATACTGTTAAGGTACTACCTATGTGCAGAGTAGATGAAACTCAGAATCGGTGTGTTTGGAGACGTTTCATTAAAGTTGAATTCCCTCTGTGTTTGGGAGAAAGGAAGGTAAATGAACAGTGTGGCCCTCTTGGTAAAATCCAACTATGCTTGCTACATGAAGGCAAACCTTTAAAAGAAACTGGTTTACTTAAATAAGAAGATTTAGTTGGAGAAGAGACTGAAGTACCCAAACTTTGTATTTGTTAAGCTACATGGGGCAGTGTCTCTTCAAGCTGGTTAATCACAGCTGGTGGCATGTGTTGGAATGAAGGAGGTGGCACAGATGAGACAGGAGAGTGGCTCATCCTACCTTTGTTTTCTTTTAAATCCTTTGTTTTCCTGTGATAAATATATACATTATTTCCTCCAGTAAACTAAGTGATATAAAGATTGAACAGGTGGGATTATTCTAGGCATTTATCATGACTTAACTGCAGCCAGCAGCTAAGCACCCTGTCAGCCACTTGCTTGAAAATCAAAAAATGTGTCATGGAGGGAGTTGGCAGGAAGGAAAAGATTAAATACACTGAGAATCTGGCCAGACTCATTATTATACTTCTACCGTGCTACTCAGGTCAACTTTCCAACAGAGTTAATGTTTACTGGTATGCGTCACTCTGAGAGTGCTGAGGGGAAAGATGTCTATTTCTCAGTTCCCAACACAGTTTTTCCACTGCCCTCTCAAATGAAAACATCTTGTAGAACATGTATGGCCTCCTCCTCCGTGCCACAAACCAGACACATGACTTTTTCACTTAATGCATTGCATTAGTAGCCCAAGAGCACTGACAGGCCTGGCTGTCCCTGCCCATCCTCCCCACCTGCACAGGGCCTAGGACCTCATGTCAGCCCCCCAGGCCATCAGCTCCTGCCCTAGTGACACCGTAGAAGGGCCACTCTCCAGCTTCTCATAGCCAAGGCCCCACATTGCCTCGGCACATCCCTATCCCTGGCTGGCACGTGGGATGGGCCCTGGCTGCCAGCTCATGCCCTGACACCCCATGGGGAGCAGCCAGCCCACTCTGTGCCCTGACACCCTGCTGCCCGGCACACTTCCCAAATAGCCACTGCCATTGGATTTCACCCCACAGCCAGAATACCCTCTCCTTTTTGCGCTCTCCAGTTGCAAGTACCCTCTATAAGCCTCACAAATACCTTGCTGCAATCAATATCCTAGGTTTACTTCTTGCACTTTGACTCACTTTCCTCATCCCATCTTAATTCTTCCTTAGTTTTTCTCATGAGCTTTCTATAAAAATGTTTCTACTTCCTAGAAATTTGTTCTTTCTTACTCATCTTTCCTGAATTCTACCAAAACACCCCATACTCATCATTGCACCGTGTCAACAGAATATGGAAAATCCTAGAACAACAGACCATAGTTTCATAAAACTATCATGCACAGAAACTACCTCTGGAGGAGTCTTTTAGTTGCCAGAGTCCTCCACATTAAGTAGAGGATATAAGTAGTAAAATAGACTTAACATTATTTGATAAACCCGGACAACTTTAAACCATTCCCTACAGTAGGGTGGTGCATAGTAATGAGATGTGTTAGTGCATAGTAATGAGATGTACAGGCTAGCATAGGGTAAGTGTGTAGGATTTGAAGTGTGACTTGGTAGAAGCAGCTGGGAATAAAACAATACAAGGGGGAAGAACCAGCTTTGAGTCAGGACTCTAGAAAGTCTTTAGTGCCTCAGTGCAAATTTAGGTTCTTAAAATTCTGATTCAGCTGTTACCTATTCCTGTAAAAAAAGGTCAGTAGCTAACTGCAGAAGGAAGTATTTCACTGTCTCCTAGGCAACTAAAAAAAATACACCCTGTCTGAAAACACCCACAGCACTGTGTCTTCAAGGAATGAGCTGCTTTGAGTCATTTTCAGTGCTTCATGCTGGGCACAAGCTGGGCATACCTTAAGCTAATTCACCTAGGGTGAGTTCACAGGATCACATCCCCCATGTTCCCACAGTACATGTTAAATGTGACAATTACTGAACTTCAGAACGTGGCCAGTGGAGAAAGTCTACTGCCTCCCAAGGCAGCAGTTCAGAGGGTATATGATGGCCGTGTGGCCGGGTATCAGCTGAAACCTTGGCTGAGGTCGATTTATGGTGATTGCACACCATGTTCATTTGTGTATCAAAAGTAATCACTTGTCTGCTCCAGCCAGCCTGCTGGCTGTCCTAAATCTCCTGCATCAAGTCATGCTGATGGGGAAAATCTAAAATGCTCTTGTCCTCTCCTAGTAAATCCATGTATGTTTTTTAGGAGAGTACTTTTGTCACCAACCTATGAGATATGAGGAGGGAGGAACCAGACAGTAACGTGGGTTAAAGAATACCTGCTATTGCCAAGTGAGGCTGTACCACTTACAGCAAGTAATTAAAGATTAATCAAGCTCTGGAAGGAAGCAAGAGGGAAAGAATGAGATTGTCTAGCAGACAGGGTGATGGCCCTCCCCTTACAGAATGGAAAACACGATTCTAGTTCTTGTTCCAAGGGCTGCTTATGTATTTTATATTAAACAGATACTAGAATAAGTGACCAAGATCCAAGTGTTTCTGCACACTTCGTACACACCTTCCCACATCCACTGATGAAAATCTCTAAAATTTTCTTACCTAGTTAGCATTTACTTTGATGTAAAAAACAGCTTCAGCAAGAGATCCTTAGAAGGTTCACTGGACAGACTAGGGTGTTGCCATTAGGACACTTTAAGGGCATGGGATATAAAGCCTCTTGAGTGTACATTTTGCTTTCCAGGTGAATACTCTAACCATTCCCATAATGTGCTCATCAGCTCCTACTGCACATTTGCCTCTAGGCCTGACCCATAGAGGCTGTGGCTGTCACACTGCTAGTTTTCAAAGTCCTCTCTTCATTATTGGTGTTAATTAAGGTTTACCACACTAAAGCCTCGATATCCCCATCTTTCTCTGGCAATGCCTGCTTTAGTAGCCCAACAGGAGCAGATCGGCAGAAGCAAAAGTCAGTAGTGAGGACCTGACATCCACATTTTACACATGTTCAGGTTTTCCTTCAGAATAACTCTAGCTTGATTTTCTAGATTGAATACCCATTAGTGACTGGAGCACACTGAAGTACCCTTAGGGCATTAAAACCTGAAGCATCCAAATGATCACTTATTTTCTTAAAGCTGGTGTACTCAGGCAGCGTATGTGCCCACGTCAACACCATAGCAACAGACTTTCATGATTCATGAAGGAAAGCTGGTGTCTTGGTACGTGTCTGAGCATGCATGTTGAGAGCCAGAAGTTCTTATGCTTACTGCATATGTACTTTGGGAAGAAAATGGTGTCTCCCTGGCCAAATGGAACTCCTCAGTGCGGATCGAGTGTTGTATGCAATGGCCATCTCCTCTGCTCAATTTGCCAGCATATTTTACATTAAATACAGACTGTTGTGAGTTTTCTTCCTTGCCACACAGGCTACATGGTGTTTATTCTGGGAAAACACATTTCAAAATCTTACAGGGAAGAAATAAAAAAAAAATTAGGAGGATCTGATGGAATCTGCAACTGTTGGGGTGATTCTACCTGCATGATATGGTAGATATTTTGATCGCTGATACTGCATTTCCCTCCGGAAAAAGCCTGCTCCCGCCGTACCCTAGCCCTGACCCTTTCCCTACTTCAGGAAAACACGCTGGAGCAGCCCCCAGTCCCCTGCGCCGCTCCCATCCGCCGCCGACCCGGCTCACCCACCGTCCGCGGCCCTGGGGCGGTGGGAGGTGCCAGGGCACGGGCTGGGATGGGACGGGGGAGGCGAGGCCGGAGCTGCCTCGTTCCGCTGTACGCTCTGTTAACGGCCCGAGTTCGGAGCGGGTATCTGCCGCAGCCGCACCACGCCTCCACGGTAGCCTCAGGTGAGCGGAGGGGCTCTCCTCCGGAGGGTGAGGGGAGGGAAGCGCGGGCGGCAGGGCTTCTCCCCTGGGGGAGGTCGGAGGGAGCGGGGCTGGAGGCCGCTCTCAGAAGCGAAGCCGGAGGCTTTGGCTGGAAGAGGGAGCCGGGCTTAGGGCCTCCCGCAGGCCCGGCCCTGCTCGGCCGCACTCCGCCGGACGCCCCGCTGCCGGCCCAGGTCTGCCCTGGGGGCACGAGCGCGGTGCAGGACCGTTTTTCCCGGTGGAAAGGGGTGTTCGGGGGACCAGGCCTCCGCCGCTGCCCACCACGCGTCCATTACAGTGGTGCTGCCCCTAACCGAGGGGCCCAGCAGGCGGGTGGTGGGCCTAACTTCTGCATGGGCTCAGCTCCAAGGATGGAGTAAATCTGACAGAAAGGGAAAAAGAGCTCCGGAAGTGCTGTCTCAGGCCGTACAGACTTTCTGTCTCCACTGAGATGCCTGAGCTTCCCGATGCACCACTGTGAGGTTGTGCTCTGTTAAAGCAGGTTTAGTTGGAGCAGCAAGAAACTCTGTATGGATATTCCTGACTAAATGTGTTGTTCAAGGAGAAGAAGTGTATCCACAGGTTTGGTTTAACTTTGCTGGCTTTAAGTACTATGTTTTTTTTTAATTGAACCTGCGCATCGGTGGGTTACATACCCATATTGCCTGTGTGCTTTTTAAGGCTTCTCCTGCTTCACGCAAAAATTGTTAGTTTACAAAATTCATATGCTTTCTATGTGAAGAAATTTCTCATATGTCGAATAGATAGAGCATGTGGTAGGCTGAGGTCTTTGGGAGATAAGTTTTGTTATAGTATCATAGAATAGTTAGGATTGGAAAGGACCTTCAGATCATCTAGTTCCAACCCCCCTGGCAGGGACATCTCACACTAAACCATGTCACCCAAGGCTTTGCCCAACCTTTGTACAACTTTCCAGGAGAATCTGCTGCAGAATGTACAATTTAACAGTTCCTTTCACTAGGAATAATATCCAAATAGCAGTTTTCGAGGTTTTTTAAGGAATTCAAGGCGTGAACACTTTCGACAGTAGTCAGTATTCGAGCATTTTTTACAAATCTAACTGCTTACGGATGAAAGTATATTTAGACACTCTAAATGGAAGTGCATCTGCAATATCTAGAGGAGATACTTTCTTACCTACTTCAGGAGTCAGAGCAGTGTGAAGTTCAGTGGTAAACCGAGGCAGATCTGTATTTGAGATATATAAAAAATAATTTCTTTGAAGATAACGATTGCCGAGTCCCTGTTTGTGGGAAATGAGGTGGCATCCTTGTAGAAGACTCCAGTGTTACAAACACCACACAGTGTCTTTCTAATTTCAGAAAAGGTCATAAGTGATGGGACTTGCAGTAATGGTTCAGAGCTGCACCAGCGGAGGTTTAGACTGGACATTAGGAAGCATTTATTTACCAAGAGGATGGTCAAACACAGTAACAGCCTTCATAGAGAGATGGCTGATGCCCCAAGCCTGTCAGTATTTAATAGGAATTTGGACAATGCTCTCAACAACGTGCTTTAACTTTTGGTCAGCCTGCAGACACCCTGACCCAACTTTGGTCAGGCAGTTGGACTAGATGATTGTTGTAGGTCCCTTCCGACTGAAATAGTGCATCGCATTCGACCTATGTCTGCTAAGATGGGGAAATTAAATGAGGCCAGGTGTATTTTAATATATCCATGTATGTGGGAAAAGCAAACAGGCTTTTCAGCACAATAACATAAAAACCTATGTAAAACTAAGAGCTTGTAATTCTGATGTACACGAGCAACTAGGTGTTTGGTGGTGAAGTTTTTGGGGTCCTTTCCAACCCTAACTATTCTATGATTCTGTGATCAGTAGAGCTGAGGCAGAGTGACAGGCAGACATGGTGAGGTTCTAGGGTTGCATGGTTGCAGGAGGTAGTGTGATGCGTGGTGATACCCAGTGGAGGTGTGTTGGTGTGATGAGAGAGGAGAGCACGTGGAAACAGTATGCAAAGGCTGTATGGCCGTGTTAGGGTGGGGAGGGTGTATGAAAGCACCCGGCAGAGGCTGGTGTGCAGCATAGGGAAGATGTGGAGTTGTGTATGGAGGCACAGGAGGTGCAGCAACATGAAGCAGATGTGCAGAGAAATGGCATGTGTATCATAAGCTTATGGTGGGGACATGACAGGTGTCACCGCATGTGGGAGATGAGTAGGTGGGGCTGAAGAAGGGCCTGGGACAGCACAACAGTAGAGTGTAGCGTGGTAGAGTGAGAAAGGTTTGTGAGTCAGGAGCAGCATGAAGGAGGAACAGGGTGGTGAGTGGGGAGCATCCATGCAGTGAAGTGAAATGTGTCCTTGGGGTGCCATGTGTAGGCTTCATCGAAGTGAAGGGAACTTGGAGAGAGAAAGCATATGCTGTGTAACTGTGATAAGGGTCCATATATGTAATAGTGTAGAAGGGGATGTGTTTGTTGTTGGGAGTCATGCGTGAAGACAGTAACGGATGCACTGGTGTTCGCACAGGGGGCCGAGGGAGAGGGCTGGTTAGCGGATCACTGCTAAAAGAACGTGGAGGTACTGGGGGAAGACGATGCTGGGATGAGGAAGTGGACGGGATTTATGTCGATCACTTGATCCGAGGACCCGCTCGGAGGGCGGGGGAGGGGGGGAGGAGTTTGTGCCCTGTGTCTGGGGACGGAGGGGGGCGGCCGGAAGGCGGCGGGGCTGGGCCTCACTCCCGCCTCTACCCCGCGCAGGCCGAGGCTGCTATAGTAACGCGGAGGACGCCGGCGCTGAGCGGAGCCAGAAGGAGAGATCCTAGTCATGGTGAGCGCCTTAGAGGGAGGGAGAGCGGGCGGTGGGATGGGGCGAGCGCCGGCCCATGCTGAGCCGTGTCTCTTCCTCGCAGCCCTTCACCGAGCGCGCCTACTACCCGCCGGCGGCGGGGGGAGCCGGGGCCGTCACGGGATCGGGGCCGTTTCCCGCCTTTCAGTTCCGCGACCGCCATGAGGGCCCGGACTGGCGGCGGCTGAGCGCCGTGGATGTGTGCCGGGTGTCGCGGGAGGGGGACGTGGCGGCCCTGCAGGAGCACCTGGAGCACGTCACCTTTTGCAGCGCCGAGCGGGAGCGCTGCCCGCACTGCCAGGGCCCCGCCGACCCGCTGCTGCTGAAGCTGCTGCGCCTGGCCCAGCTCTGCACCGAGTATCTGCTGCACTCCCAAGAGTACCTTAGCGCCCAGCTTGGCAACCTGGAGGAGGCCTTGCGAGCTGCCCTGGCCCAGCGTGACGAGCTGGGCAAGGAAATGACCCAGCGCTCACTGGAGATCAAGGCGCTAAAGGAGGAGTGCCGGCGGAGGAAGAAGATGATCAGCACTCAGCAGATGATGCTGGAGGCCCGAGCCAGCTACCACCAGGTGAGAGGAGAGGTCCTGGTGGCCCAGTGACCCACAGCTTGCCAGGGATAGGCAGCAGAACAGCTCTGCTCTGCCCCAGTACACTTGCTGGGTGAAAGGCTGGAGCTGCAGGGACTGGTGACCTTAAAAAAGGGAGTGCATTGCTTGCAGGTGCTTTGCTTCCCATCTTTTCAGTTGATATCACAGACATTTGGGAGAGTGGTGCATCATCTTCGACAAACCCTCTTTTTACTAACAAGTGCTCTTTATTCTTGGATTTGCTTTTGATGTGTCTGAAGTGTCAGATACACACATACAAAACCTGTGATAAATGTGTTGCTACTTTCTGTTGCTCTCTTTCCTTTTGTATCAACGGCATGGTCAGAAAACACACAGGGCAAGTACATCAGAACTGGTGCTAGGCAGTAACTTACCTGTCTGTAAGTTACCACTTCAGTAACATTCTCCAGGCACAAAGTTTTTGCTTGTGTATGTGAGTCAGAAGTGACTCAGGCATTATGGTAAAGAGCCCCAGTGAGGTAGCTAATCCATAACTCCACAACAATCTGTTCCTTAAGGGTCTTCTTAAGAGACTTAGTACATAGCTGTTCTGTCTCCCTGTGTTACAGCACTCTTTTTTTAGGGAGGGGTTTTTGTGTTCTGGGTGTCACAGTTTGTTTTAAATATTTTTCAGCTTCAGCATTTTTCAACAGGTTGCAGGAAGCAGATTGCAGCTTGAAATGTAGTCTGAAGTCGAGAGTACACTGGACAGACTTGATGTGATTTTAGGCAAGCTCTTTGTGTCTATGAGTTTAAAGTTCTGTTTTTTTTTTTGTTGTTTTTTGTTTTATTCTTTGGGTACTAAGAGTCCTGATTGTTGAAATTCTCTTTAATCAGTGGAATAGTTGCAATACGGAACCAACACAAGTTTTCTTATAATACATCCAATCTTATCCCACAGTCTGATACCAATTTCAGCAGGCTAGTTTAATATTTCAAGACATCAGCTAAGTTGGCTCAGGTGTTTCTGTAAGGGAAGAAATACCTTCTGTCCCAAGACTAGAGCTATACATATGGTAGACTTCATGGAATAAACCTTGTCTAAATGCATATAAGAGTTAGTCTTAAAGACAATCTTAAAGACAAGCTGGTGTAATTTTAAAAAGCCAAACAGAGCAGTTTGTGTGTGCTGTGTTGCACAAGAAAACTGATCTCATGCATCATTTTATGTGTGGACTGAAATAATTCTGGTACTGTGATTGCCAGCTAAGTATTTCCAAGTTTTCCTGAAATATTTGTAGAGTACAGCTGTCTGAGTGGAAGCTGAAGAACATGGTAGTGAACTTGGCTCATCAGTAAGCTTCTGTTAAGTGGCCTTACAATAAAGCAGACATGGAAAAGCCGTTTCCTTTTTTTAATTTCATTTCATATAAAGTAAACATCTGACGTCCCCGTTATTTCTTTTCTCTGATAGAAAATTCTTGTCTGCAGAAGTTTATTTAGGTTCCTGTGAGAAAAATTAAGTCCAGGGAGTGATACTGAACAGTTCTTGCAGTTCCTACAGTGTTTCCAGGGTTCTGAGTGTGTGTGCCAAAGGGAAATGAAACTCTTCGCAGGGTTTGTAGGTGCAGAGTAGCAGTGTCATCAGTAAACAGTAATTTTGTGATAAACAATAATTGTGTGTTACTTATCCATGCCATGATCTTGGGTGGTCTGCAGTGCCAGATAATAGGGATTACTGGTGTTCCTGAGGGGGTACTTCAGATTCCATCACCTTAAAGTCTTGTCTGTTTTGCAAAGGAGTCTGTAAATAGTTACCTGTTTTAGTGGAGGTACATTTTATGTTTAATGTAACCATGCTTTGGAATTCAGATTTAATTACTTTAATCCACCACCAGTGTAAGTTTAACCATGAATCATAGAATAGTTAAGGTTGGAAAGGACCTTAAGTTCATCAAGTTCCAGGCCCCCTGCCATGGGCGGGGAAACCTTACACTAAATGATGTCACCTAAGGTTCTTTCCAACCTGGCCTTGAATACCACCAACTTCCCTGGGCAGCCCATTCCAGTGCCTCACCACACTCACAGTAAAGAACTTCCTCCTTATATCCAGTCTAAACTTCCCCTGTTTAAGTTTGAACCTGTTACCCCTTATCCTGTCACTACAGTCCCTAATTAAGAGTCCCTCCCCAGCATCCTTATAGGCCCTCTTCAGATACTGGAAGGCTGCTATAAGGTTTCCACACAGCCTTTTCCTCTCCAGGCTGAACAGACACAACTTTCTCAGTCTGTCTTCATACAGGAGGTGCTCCAGCCCCCTGATCATTCTCGCGGCCCTCCTCTGGACTTGTTCCAACAGTTCCATGTCCTTTTTATGTTGAGGACACCAGAACTGCACACAATACTCCAAGTGAGGTCTCACAAGAGCAGAGTAGAGGGGCAGGATCACCTCCTTCGACCTGCTGGTCACTCTCCTTTTGATGCAGCCCAGGATATGGTTGGCTTTCTGGGCTGCAAGTGCACAGTGAAGCCAGCTCATGTTAAGTTCCTCATCAACCAACACCCTCAAGTCCTTCTCCGCAGGGCTGCTCTGAATCTCTTCTCTGCCCAGCCTGTAGCTGTGTCTGGGATTGCTCTGACCCAGGTGTAGTTGCATGCACTTGGCATGGTTAAACTTCATGAGGTTGGCATCAGCCCACCTCACAAGCATGGCAAGGTCCCTCTGGATGGCATTCCTTCCCTCCAGCATATCAACCGAACCACACAGCTTGGTGTCATCAGCAAACTTGCTGAGGGCGCACTCAATCCCGCTGTCCATGTCAGCAACGAAAGATGTTAAACAAGACCGGTCCCAACACCGATCCCTGAGGGACACCACTCATTAGTGGTTACTGGACATTGAGCCGTTGACCACAAACTTTTGCCTGCAGCCATCCAGGCATTCTTTATCCATGAGTGGTCCATCCATGAAACCGACGTCTCTCCAATTTAGAGACAAGGATGTCGTGTGGGACAGTGTCAAACGCTTTGCACAAGTCCAGGTAGATGACATCAACAGCTCTACGCCTGTCCATCAGTTCCATACCCCGATCATAGAAGGCCACCAAATTGGTCAGGCAGGATTTCCCTTTGGTGAAGCCATGCTGGCTGTCACCAAGCACCTTGTTGTTTTTCATGTGCCTTAGCATGCCTTCCAGGAGAATCTGCTCCAAGATTTCGCCAGGCAGAGACTGACTGGTCTGTAATTGCCTGGGTCATCCATTTTCCCCTTCTTGAAAATGGGGGTTATATTTCCCTTTTTCCAGTCATCGGGAACTTCACCTGGCTGCCATGATTTTTCAAATATGATGGCCAGTGGCTTAGCAACTTCATTTGCCAGCTCCTTCAGGACTCGCAGATGAATTTTGTCAGGTCCCATGGACTTGTGCACTTTCAGGTTCTTAAGATGGTCTTGAATCAGATCCTCTCCTACAGTGGGACCTAAGGTCTTCATTCTCATAGTACCTGTGTCTGCCTTCCAAGACTTGGGTGGTGTGGTCATTTGCCAGTGAAGACGGAGGCAAAGAAGTCATCAAGAACCTCAGCCGCTTCCAAATCCAGGGTAGCCAGTTCTCCTGATAGCTTCCAGAGAGGGCTCACTTTGTCCCTAGTCTGTGTTTTGTTCGCTACGTGCCTATAGAATCCCTTCCTGTTATCCTTAACATCCCTAGCCAAGTTTAATTCTAAGTGGGCCTTAGCTTTTCTAACCCCGGTCCCTAGCTTCCTGGACAACCTCCCTGTATTCTTCCCAGGCTGCCTGTCCTCGCTTCCACCTTTTATAAAACTCTTTTTCCTTCTAAGTTTCCTCAGCAGCTCCTTATCTATCTGAGGAGGTCTCCTGGCCTTCCTGCTGCACTTCCTTCTAGTTGGGACGCAACACTCTTGAGCTTGCAGTAGGTGATCCTTGATACCAGCTAACAGTCTTGGGCTCCCCTGCCCTCTAGGGTTATAACCCATGGAACCTACTAAGCAGGTTCTTGAAGAGGCCAAAGACTGCTCACTTGACATCCAGGACAGTAACCTTGCTGCACGCTCTTCTCACTGTCCTGAGGATCTTGAACTCGACCATCTCGTGATCACTACAACCAGGGCTGCTCTGGAGCGTCACATTTCCAACCAGCCCTTCCCTGTTGGTGAGCATGAGGTCAAGCATGGCACCTCTCCTTGTTGGCTCCTCTATTACTTGCAGAATTAAGTTGTCTTCCACACAATTGAAATACTACTGTAAAATGGTACTTGGTATCTCTAAGTCCTAAATTTAAGACTTGTTGGCCATACCTTCATCTGAGTAGTACGCATTTAATTTTAAGTAAGTTTTTCACTTTTTTGATACTTTGTTCAGAAACCTTACATTCTCACGCACAGTGTAGGCATGAAGTGCACATTGTGTCTAACTCTGTGAAAAGTAGTTGCAAGAATAATGTCACATAATTCGAAACCTGAATATTCCCTGTGTTAAACCTGTCTCCTGAAGTAAGAGCTTGCTTTCACTGCCAGCAAGGCAAGTGACATGAAGTTTGTGCTTGAATGGATAACATTATTTCACAGCCAATTTCATTCCATAAATCATGTACAATCTGTTCCACTGTAAGATCCCTCTTGGTTGGCAGTAATGCTTTGCTGCCATACTCTCCCTTTTTACTATGGTTTTATGTTAGCACTTTTTTTTTGCATTTGTTCAACAAAATTTGTCTTAATAATTCATGTCCTTAGAGTTTGCTGAAAGAGGTATTTAATAGGATACCTATCAGTGGAAGTAGTGTAAATATTAGATGAAATCTGGGAATTTGAGTATGATGGCAAGATCTTGAATCTGTTAAGTCAGTCACAGTCATATTACACTGATAAGGAAAAAAGGCATCAGTTGAGCATTTGTGGTTTATTAAAATGTATTTATTTGAAAAGAACGAGTATGAGGAAGAAGTAAGAAGCAACCCTCCCTAAAGTGATTTGGGTCTCTGATTTGTAGGCTTACCAGTATGTTGCAATGCAAAATCTGTAGGTGTAGCTTCTGTTGTTGTACTGCCCATCTGTTTTTAATATTATGAATATTACAGAGATGGACTTCGAAGGTGAACAAAAAAAAAATAAAAAATTTAAAATGAGTAGGATCCAAATTTGACTTAAAATCTGACTTGAAATTAAAAAATAGTAAGTAAATTTTAGGAACAGTAATTGAAAACAGCTTTATGCTTCAGAAGGGTGGTAGTTAACATACTAATATATGTACCTTTTCTTGCAAACCAGTGTGCTGTTACCTTATCTTGAAGTGTCTGAACTTCTTAAAACTCACTTACGTATAGTCAAACCCATCTTTCATGGTTTTTTTTTCAGCTGTGATACAAGAATCTTAAGAATACCTGAGCTGTTAGTTGGCTGGAGTCAATATTTATTTTGCTGAATAGTGTTGTCCTACTTTTTCCTTACATACTCATGTCTTACCTGTGGTGTATATTTGAATTTGAGCTTGGTTTGCCAAACAGATGTTACTAACAATAACATGGTTTCATCTTTTTTTTGTTGTTTTTACTTTTTGTAGTGTCAGCTTTGTGAAAAGGCTTTTATGAGCTATTCCTTTTTACAAAGTCACATGCAAAGACGTCATCCAGAAGAATTTCGAATTGGTATGTACTTTAGTGTCATCAAAAAATTTAAGATAAATGGTGTATGTGATACAGTGAGGATGTGCAGTTCATTATTTTGTGTAACTGGGAAGAATGATTTTTGGGTCCCTTTTTAGGTGGCAGATACCAATTTGTGTGAATGCAAGCAACACTTGACGACAAAATGTATTGGATGACATGTTTCAGTCTATAGAAAATAACAAAAAATTGTATGCCATATTTACAGTACCTTTTCAAACTAATATTTCCACTGAATACTTCAGTCAGTAGCAGACTTCAGGGCACACTTTTTGTATGTAGGCGTGTGTATTATGAGGGTGTGTGTAAAATGAATAAATTGCACTTAAGGACAATACATTTTTTGAATATATGTATGTATATGAATTATCAGTCATATAATAATCCAGCTCACCTGGAATCAGTTTGAATAGGGTCAGACTCCTGTGAACCAAACTGACTAAAATATAGTGAGAAAGAGAAACTATCAAGAATAATCTGACTTCAGGTATTTATGGTAAACTCTGTTGCTATACCACTAATTCAACATACTTTTGCCTCTCTGAATTGAAAAGTACTTAGGTTGAAAAGCAATGCTCTCAAAATTTGTTTCATTGATCCCTAAATTCTCTCCTTCCCTTTAGGCTGCATGCTTATGATTTATTGCTAAGGACTAATAAGTATTGACAAATGGCAGTGATTAGAAATGAGTTAGGAAAAAAGAGCATTTGGCAGGAGAAAGGGAAGGAAGAATCTAGTGGGGTCTGAACTGCAGCTTGTCAAGCAAATAAAACAGCAGGAAGAGTGGGAGGGTCTGGGTAAGCATCTGAGTGTTAATATATTGGAAGAAGAAAGCTTGTGTGCTTTATGCTTGATAAAGATGGTACTGGAAGATGCTGCAGAAAGAGTAGAATTAATTATTATCCAAAGAATTAGTCTGAAATGACTGAAATGTGAGGGAAATACTCCATACAGTTATTTCTGAAATAATATTCTACATTGTGCTCAGATTCCCAGATGATGGGCTAGTAAATCCTTGGCAAATTAGTAAAATGTTTCAAGATTAAAGATTGCTATATTTTTTTCATATTTAACATGTTTTTTTTACAGTGACATTCTTCCTGGCTTATTCCAGATAAATAATGAGTTGTATTCCAAATGGATTACTTAAAAAAGTTATTTAGAATAATAAATTAAACTTAACAGAATTGAATTAATGAGGTTCACTTTGTCCTTCACGTGTCATTTTTGAGTCTGTGTTGCTTAGATTAGTTTGAAATTAGATTATAGACTACTTTTAAATATTGTATAAACTATTTCACGTGTCATTGATACACGTATTTTCAGTCTTTAAGGATAAGTTAGCAGGTAAACACATACATGTTTAAGAATATCTTTGGTGAATCATAGTAGTGGGAGGGAAGTGGTCTAAGAGAGCCACACTTCGTGAAGATGCTACTGAAACACTATAGAAATGCATTTGCAGTATCACATCTCCAGAAACTACAACAAACATTTTAAAAATCTGTGTTTCCTTTAAGCAGACCAGAAGAGGAAAGCAAAGACAGAGAAATTGCAGGATGAGATTGATAAACTGAAGGAGCAGTTGCAGCTCACCAAATCCCAGTTAGAGGCTGAACAGCAAGCTAACGTGGTCAGGTTTTCTAAGGTAACATGTGCTAAGTAATGTGAACGTCTCAAAAGCATTGGTACTTTGGACTGCGTTCATTCATTTTGTAACTGAACAGAGCGAAATGTATCTAAAACTTTCTTGTCTGGCAGGGATGTGCTTGAGCATGAGAACATAGCCCTCCCTTGCCTCAGGTAATCCATAGAATCATAGAATGCTTGGGGTTGGAAAGGACCTTAAGATCATCTAGCTCCAACCGCCCTGCCATGGGCAGAAACGCGTCACCCTAAACCATATTGCCCAAGGTTCTGTCTAATATTATAATATCTAATAATATAATATTATATGATTCTTAGATCCACTTTCTTCTTACTTTCATTTTAGACGTATTTTAAATAAATACTTTAGGCACCACTTCTGTGAGCACTTGCGAGTTCATAAGCTGTATGGGCTGTTACTGAAGCAAATAAAATTGCCTTGCTGTGGAGAAACAAAAGCTATTTTTGGCATTATGATATTTTGTAGTGTCTAAGTCTTTCTTAGATCTAACTGTGATTTTGTATGTGACATTACAAACTGAGTCAGATTTATTCTTTGCTGTGGAGAACTTTACTGTCTAACAGAGATGTAAAGCAGTTCAAGGAAGAGAGACTGAGAAAAAACAAAGCAGTCTGGAGGTTGCATGTTGGTCTGTAAACCCTTAGGATTTGGCTGACCAGAGAGCGAAAGCAGAAAGTAGTATTAGCTACTGCTATGTGAATGGAGAGACCTTAAACCAGAATGATTTTAAAGCAGTAATTATCTGTTTGTAATCACATGCATGGCTTTGTTTGGTATTATACTGAATCTTCGAAGTATACTTACTGTCTCAGAAAGAGAAACTAGAATCTCTTAAGTTACCTGTATAATTACTTTTTTTTTTTTTAACTTTGATAATTTCAGGTCATCTCACAGTTTGCATTTCTGTTTAAGTAAATACAATCACAGTTTGCTATAGAAATAGGGGTGGTTTTTTTTCCTTTAGCAAGGGAGAGGATTTGTGCTTCGGTTTGAGGAGCAAATTCTTGGCATAAGAAACAAATACGTCCCATGATTGAGTTAAATGCTGATCTTTGTGTTGCAGTTTACCCTATATTACATTCAAAAGCAGTCTTTTGTGGTTGTTAACCTAACTTGTGAGAACCTTTTCTCAATATTTGGAACTTCTGAATGGCTTTCCTAGGGGAGTATGAGGACCTTCAAACGTAAAACCAACCATTATATTTTGAAAGAAACCTCGCATTTTGAATTTAAAGGAAATAAAGAAAACACGGATATCATTAATTATTTTCTTCCTTGTTTTCAGAGGAAAATGTGGTCTTCTGTAAAAGATGTAGTGTTTCTTTCTCTGAACACTGCTTCAGACTCTTCTTTCTCCAGTCTTCTTGTTCCCGTTTTCTCAGAGCCATTCAGCTCCCTGTTTTGTTTTTTTGTGGGGTTTTTTTCCATTTTCAAAAGTACTTAAATGATGAAGAACATGGCTAGAGTTTTACTTAGGAATGTGAGCCCTGTGTGAACATGTGCTAGGCATGCTACTCATTCATTCTGTACCTCACTCTTGAGAGGTACAGCAATTATATATTTCTCCTGCCCCTAACGAATTGTTTTTCTTATGAAAACTTGGAGTGTGCGTAACAGGGCAGTGTATGCTTTTTAGTGCCTATGGGGTCTATTCTGAAGTCACTTGTTTTAGCTGAGGCTCCTAACTACAAGTGGACTACCTGAAATGTCCTGAAGCTGCAGCCTGCAGTGTTATACAACAAGGAGCTTTCAAAGCTTTTGTGTTTTTCTGGGATTTCACAGAAGACAGGAATGTGGAGTGTGGCTGGTTGCAGTGTGTCTGCCATGACTGACACCCACTGTCAATTCAGGTTTCATTATGTTGTTGTCTTTTGACCGAAAGAGCAGAAGATCTTTCCCTTTGATATTTTTTTTTTTTTTTAGGATAACCACTACTGGAGGGAATTTGGATAAAAACTGTCATACTTCCAGTTCTTGGTCACTTCTACTCCTTTGAGGTGAAAGGATGCGGAAGACCCCATTCTTCATGACTGTACAATGATTGCTTGTTATAGTTAGCCAGAGAACAAATTCAGACTGAATCTGTGATGGAAAGATGTAGGGATTGCCTACAAAGTGTATATTCTGGGCAGTGAAATGCAGGACTTCAAACAAGTTGAGGACTATAGAAAAGTGAATGACTAGGTAATAGAATTATAAAATAATTTAACAGGTAAAGTGGGTTAACTGTATATGGAGAAAAAATAGTTCTAATTTTGTCTACAAAATTATGGGCTCTGAGCTGAATTTTTTTTCTGAAGGAGAAGATCTTAAGGTTGTGATAGATACATAGTTTCATGGAAGCATCATCCCAGTGGTTAATAGCAGTCAGCAAAGAAAGTCAAATATTACAGATCAGTCTGAAAAATGGCTGTGCAAGCCACAGCCTACATTCCATGTGTGGGTCTAGTCCCTTCATCTCAGATATGATATGATATACCAATAAAAGTTATGGAGATGGTCTACAAAATTGATCAATCTGTATTTAAAGTGACTGAGCATGCTGAGAGTTGTCAGTCTGAAAAAGAGACAACAGCTTGGTGGAAATGGAGGGCGAGATACTGATGGCTGCAAGATGAGGAGTTTCATAGAGTGAATAGGTATTAATCATTCACTTTCTTTTCCAGTTCAGGACTTGGCATCCATCAAATGAACCTGGCAGGAGCCAGATTCAGACCAAAAAAAAAAAAAAACCCCAAACTTGCCTCTTCATTCAACTTGTGTATCTCATTGGCAAAAAAATGTTTCAGTTACTAAAAGCTGACACAGCCACAAGGGATGACTGCAAAAGTGTATGAAGAGAAATGTATTGAAGGCTACTGAGTTTACATAACTCTGTCTGTGCAAATCCTCTGAGCTGGAAACAGTTGGCAGCTTGGAGACTATTAAGGAGAATGTGTGTGTTTGTTTGCCCTGGTATTATCTTTTCCCACCTAAATGCTTATGACCTCTGTGAGAAACAGGATATGGCCTCTGTGAGAAACAGGATGCTGAATTAAGCAGATCTTTGATATGACCAAGTAAGGTTGTTCGTGTGTTATTCAATGAAAAATAATGAACTACCAAAGTGTCTTTCCAAAATATAGAAAAATGTATAGTTTCCTATCTCAAAATTCTTCTGAAACTGGTGGATTTTATGTTTTTTGATGTGACAGTATTGCCCACTGAAAGTGACTGCTTCCCACACATAGTTTGGGTGCTTGAATTGGTGTTGCATGTGGGGGAAAAATAACAAATAATGCTTTTTATATAATTTCAGGAATGTGAACAGCAAAAATCAAAAGAAGAAGAAATTCTGCAGTCATTTCATAAATGGAAAAAGGAGGAAAAAGATAAATTGGCTGATGAAATAGAAAAAGTGAAAGAGATGTTTATGAAAGAGCTTAAAGAGTTGTCTTCAAGAAACTCAACATTAGAAAATGTAAGTGATTTATATTTTCCAGCATTTTAAGGCATGAATCCCTTGTAATAGATGGCAGTGAACTTCACATACTTGAAGCGTGATGTTGTCATCTTAGAGGTCTTCTTACAAAACTCTAAAAATAATGGTTTGATGATAGCCATAATTCTTTGTATACTGGTGCTTTAGGAACATAATTTCAGTTCTTTTTTAAATTGCACTGTTCTAGATGAATGAATTAACGCCTTCAGCAACTACATCAGTTTTTGCTTACTCTTCAACCTTTGAATGCTTGTAGATGAGTAGATGTGATTGATGTCTGTTAGGTGTGCTTACACTAATATTCTTGTAACTGGCATGGAGGCGACTAACCTCTGGGTTGTACTCCTGACAGTATAACTGCATGTGTTTTCAATGCATGCTCTAGAAATGCTTTCCAGAGTTTTCACCAGAAAGAAAGCTGTAGAAGTATAGGTGGCTCAGAAAACAAATATGGACAGTATTACTGGAGTAGCATGTATTTTGTAGCTGCTATGTCCTGTGTGCACTTGCAAGGTATATTTATGTTAGATGTATGTATTAATAATTATGTGAAACTTGATAAATGCCGAACTCATCATAAACGTGAAAAGTATCTGATGCAGACTATGTATAGTTATGTTTAAAATAAATTGTGTATTAAATAACAAAGTGTGTATACATGTTCTTAAATTCTCTCCTCCCCCTCCCTCCCCCACCTTCTTCTAGCAACTGGTAGAATTACGAAAATCCAGTATGCCACAAAAATCCAACTTAGGGACACTGAAAGACAGCCAGGACTTTACAGAAGAGGAACCTCAGAGTCCTCAGGATTATCACAGCGTGGTAAAGCTTCTTGAAAAACAGGTAACAATATAACTTGATGTATTGCTTTTGACAGACTACTTGTGTTTTATTTATTTTTGTACATCTCTGAATAGGGTTTTAAATATGTAAGTAAAATTCTCATCTCTCTCAAGGCCCACAGTATCTTCTTCTTGAAGATTTACTATTATTTAGTACAATCTTTATAATGCAGATCGAGGCATTATTTCGCTTATCCTTTATAAATGAACTAATTGTTATTTATTTATATTCTCTTATTCTTTGTGATTAAATATAACTAGTATTACCCAGTATGCTTGCAGTTCAGTTCCAGAGTGCTCTAGTAAAGCATTTATGTCTGCTCATCTGTGAGATCACTTACAAATTGGAATTGTCCATTATCCAAGATTAAAAAAAAAAAGTTGAGAAACTTTCTGATGGGATCTGTCAACACAAGGCTTTTGGGCCATATGAAGCATTTCAGCTTGGTGGGTTAAACTTCTGTACCAGGACTGTATTATCTGACTAGCACAGATGCTGGTGCTGATGCACATCAATTTGACAGTCCAAAGTCCCACTTGTAGGAAGGATTGAGCTAGAAAGGGCCACAGAGGTCAAGGTTGTTGCATTGCTCTGAGACTCACCTCTGTGTCCAGGTTGTTCCTGTTAAAAAAAAAAAAGAAAGAGTGTGAGACCTTTGGAAATACCCACAAACCTTTTTACTCCTTTTTTTGACACTTTGAGACATGCATTATATATGTCATGGATCTTGGAATGTGAAGATCTTTGTATATTGCTGATATATAAAGCTGACTGTATCAAGATGAAGTATCTAAACATCCAGAAGTTTAGATACTTCAGTTAGTTTTACTTTATGGGTCTTTTTATTTCATCAAGGAAGATTCACTTCACTCTGAAATTTATATATTAATATCTTTTTTAATCAACATTACACAAAATACATTGCTATTGAGTACTTGAAATGACATTATTTTTGGGAAAAAAAGCCCTGCTCCTACTACTCTAATTGTTAATACACAGAGATGCGTCAAAATACTAGTGTATTTCTTACAGCTACTATGGATACAAATTAAAGAGCAGATATGTAGTTTCTAGAATGATTGGTAAGAAAACCATACTCAGATGTATAAAACATGCTGATGACTGTTCTAGGTCTTAAATATGGGGTTACTCAAGCTTCATATCAATAATCTTTTCAGTATTTATGCTTTATTTAGAAAAGTAAAGCTACATATATCAAACTAAATGGTAATGTGTTGTTAACAGGAGTAAATATTAATTTAATCTATGCAGGAAAATAAGTGGACATCTAGAATACAAGCCCTAAATCATGACCATGAGACAGAAAAGTCCCTGGTAAGTAGCACAGCAAACCAGCTAACAGGAGGTTTTTTTTCTTTATTACCCTTTCAGTATTTCTGAATATGCTGTAATACATCTGTTGCATTAGAAAGCCTAGATATCAAGAGTTGTAAGAGCATATCCTCTTAGACCTATTTATTACCTTTTTCTTTGCTAGGAGCTTGACCTTTCAGTCAAGGCTAAGGTTGAAACAGAATTTGTCACTTAAGAATCTGACAGACACTTGAAACTGTTATCGCTCTTCTGAAGAGCTTACAATTAGTTCTTCAAGGACTGTGTCATTATACAGTGTTTTCTGTGTTACATGGATATGCTGGAAAGTTAGATATAACTTGCCAACATGTAGCTTTCATCTGCCCTGTACCTTCTGCTGCCATGTACCTATACCGTATGTCTCTTTTTTTTTTCTTCTGTCACTTCTCTGCTGCTTTTTTAGTTGTAGCTTTCTAATGCAGAATCTGTTCAGCTTTTCCAGGAAAAAACACCATGACATTTTATTTTGCATCAGTTTATGTATTTTACTATACAGAGCTTTATTCCTCAGATTTTTTTTATGTCTGCATTTCTTTTTAATCTCTTTCCAGCTTTGTTTCTCTTGCTTCTTTTCCTTTCATTTTCCTTTCATCTGCGTGAGCATGTAAGAGCTGAGCAGATCATAGTGGTCTGACCAATGCTTCTCCTCCTCTGGCAAGAAAGCAGTGGGGAGGAACCATGGAACATTCCCCCAAAAGGATGTAGTTAATGATACACCCACATACAATGCAAGAATAGAATAAGGGAGGAGTAATGTAAGTATTACTTTTGGGATGGTGCACTTAAAACATATTGTTCCCTTTTTTCTCCATTCAGAGCTAATGGGTTTTTCAATCAAATTCAGATCTCATCTCCTTATTTGATTACATTATTTGATAGTATTTATAACCAAGTATTTTTGTAGAGTTGTAAGCTTTTTCCTGCAATCTTATTTTTAGGCAATCTCAGCAATGTGTATGCATGTCCCTTTCTTTTTATTGAGATTTAGGTAGCCTTCCTTGTGTAAATAAAAAGTGATCCTGACAGCTGTAAAATATGCAAATCCCAATGAAATCACAGGAGACATTAAGGTTTTTCTGGAAAAGAAAAAATAGAAAAAAGAAAAGGAAAAGTTAGAAATATTTAAGCATGACATTTGCTTGTTTAAACTGTTTAGTATTAAAATATTTTCTATAATAATATGAAGTTACTTTTCTTTTGATTACTTTTTAGCTGCTGTCACAGATTGAGAAACTTAAATTATCAGTGAGAGAAGACCTGAATAAAAATAATGCCTTTTACAAGAGGAGGATAGAAGAGTTGGGGCAGAGGCTTCAGGAGCAGAATGATCTGATTATTACTCAGAAGAAGCAGGTCCGTTTCGTGAAGCATTTGGTGTTTCAGAGAGCATAGAGCACAGAGAAACATTTTACTGGCATTTGGTCTTTGATATATCTCTGGTTGCATATTGACTGTGTATCTGTATGGCTTGGACTTCTGTTTGGGGAACTGAAGTGCAGAACATTGTTTTACACATAGAACTGCTTAGATTGGTAAAGACCCTTAAGATCATGGAGTCCAATCATAAACCTAGCACTGCCAAGTCCACCACTAAACTGTGTCCCAAAGCACCACATCTAAGTGTCTTTTAAATATCTCCAGGGATGGGGACTCCACCACTTTCTGTGGCAGCCTGTTCCAATGCTTGACAGCACTTTCAATGAAGAAATTTTTCCTGATATCCAACCTAAAGGTCCCTTGGCTCAACTTGAGGTCATTTCTTCTTGTCCTGTGGCTTGTTACTTGTGAGAAGAGGCCAGCACTCATCTCACTACAGCCTCCTTTCAGATAGTTGCAGAGAGCAATAAGGTCTCCCCTGAACTAAACAACCCCAGTTCCCTCAGTTGCTTCTCTTAAAACTTGCTCTCTAGACCCTACATCAGCTGCCTTGGTCTTTGGACATGCTCCATGATTTGCAACTCAATGATTTGCTTGTAGTGGATTCACAATTTACTATTTTCTTTAGACTGAATTACAGCCAGATAGTTTCCTCTACACTCAGTTTCATTCAGTGCATGTCTTGGGTGTCAAATGGACAGAACAGTAGAGCAGACTGGAGAACTGTTCATACATTTCAAATAAATGTGTAATTAAGTGTTTCCCTGCAGTGGAGCTGGGCTTGCAAAATTGAACATGAATTGCTTAAGCAGAAAGTACTGAAGCTATGAGTGCTGAAGTGGTCTATAAGCCTGCTTTCATTTCATTTTGTAGTTTGTGAAAAACAGGGCACAGAAAGCATAAGTCCATATAAGACAACAAACAGAAATAAGTCTTCATCAGTCATTAAGCATGAATGAAATACACATTAAGCAGTAGAACAGTGTTCCATAAAAGTAGTACTTTTCTCTACAAATCATAAACAATAATTTCTGTTATGGAATAGTACTGAAACTAGGTATTTTGTACTAAATGTTCATTTTTTGGATACTGATCATTTACATTTGTAACTATTAATTTATCTGTCTTCCCTATTCTAGATTAAAGAATTGTCCACAAGATCAGTTGGAAACATTAAATCATATGAAGGTAAGTACAAACTGCAAGAAAAATCAGATTTTATTTCTGATTTCAGCAGCTTGGCTGAAACAAATGTTACAATTCATTAAAACATAGAGACATCAACTTTACTCACTAAATATTGAAATCAAATCATGACTGGCAATTTGTGTTTCACAGGGTACTTACCCCTTTTCATGTCATGATTTGCAAAGTTCATGTTTTGCATCTGTAAGGCATCATAATGTAGAAAGATGATTGCTCGAATAGTGAAGAGATGTGAAATGCAGCAACTGTATTTTGTATTATGTAAGCAACTTTAGGCTTTGCTTTATGAAGTGTAATTTTAATTGTTTTGGCATGCTTGACTATCCTTTGGCTGCTGAACTCACAAAAGCCAAAATACTGGAAGAGAAGAAAAAATAATAGCTTTTCATTTAGGATACAGATCAAAGAATTTTAAGAACTCTGTCATTTTCGTCTGTGAGGTGCTTTAACATCTGAAGTCTTACAAGTAACTAAACCTTGTAATAGTGTTTTACTATGTAGTCCTGCACCACAAACATCCATATAGGTGATGCTGCAGTTGCATGACTTGAAACAAGTTTACTGCAGTAGATGATGACATCTGAATTAATTCTGATCCCGGTTTGGAAACCATCTTGCTTTACTGGCAAGGCGTTGGTTTGAACTGAATCTAGCAGCAGGGAGTAGGTTGGTTTGAGGAGAATGTAGTAACAGTAAGGCTGTACACATTTTCAGCTAGAGCTTGTGATATCCAGCCACACTAAAGGACAGACAAGTATAAGACCGTGGCACACAAGTGACTTTGCTTGTAGGCCCCAAGCTTATCTGAGGAGTGTAGAATTGAAGCGATGATTCTCTCCAAGGCTACACTCCATACATGAGATATATATAGGCTATATATAGGCTTTGTGCAGTAGATCCTCTTTGGGGAATATAAGCCTTGATTAGGCTAGACTTAACTAAGTAGCTTTGGGCCAAGACTTCTTCCCTGAGACATAAAGACAGCATACAGACATGACCAAAGAGATGGTCACATTCCACTTCACTGATGATATAGTTACTAGTTTCTTTTCCTGATTCTAGAAGTATTAAAAACATTAAACATCTATAAAGACATACTTTTATGTTGTGAAGGACCATTTTTTACTTTCTAAATGATTTGTTTAATTTTTCTCCATTAAAGCAAAAATTTAAATGATTTATAAATGTGATTAAATATTGCTATGTTTTAGAATCTCTATATATGTGTATTATTGCTTACTATAATATTTATTTTTTTTTTTACTCTTATGCAATTTTAGTGAACACTACTGTAGAGCATCTTCAAGAATCTAAACCAAGTCTACAACTGATGCATGGTAAGGCTTTTTGATAGTTCCAGATCCAGTATTTTCAAATGTAACCCTCTATCTTCTCAAATGTGTTGCTTGTTGAATCGTAACTGTAAGAGTAGTTAGTTACATTGAAAGAACATATTTGGAATTGCTTTGCTGTATGTCTGTGTCAGCACTGAGAATTACTGTCAAGTAATTGTAAACATGTACTGTTAAAAAAGAGTAAATGAAAACCAAAAGAAAATAATTTGAGAACATTTCCTAGCACGTGTATAGTGTTGAAGCACTTTAAGGTAAATAAAACTAATTGAGGAAATGAAATGTCATTTTCTTACAGAAAATTTGCTTATCTGGTATATGCATATACTATATAGGTATATATGTGTACTGGGTTTTATGTAGGGAAATATGTGGAGATGTTTGGTTTTAAGTTCTGAAATAGTGTATTTTTCTTATATGAGGTCTAATGGCAAGGAGGAAAAATAAAGGAGTCAGAATAGACAGCCATCCTGTGTAGATAGTTTTTCCAGAGTATATCTGTAGTTAAATATAGATCATTATTTATTTAAACTTGAGGTGTTGTGATAGTGTTTAGAATTGGGGGAAAGGGATGAACTTCCATTTGCGTTGTTTTGTACCTTGTGAAAATAGTTTTCTTTCTTTCTCAGTATGCAAATTAATGGAGAGTATTGTTACCATACCAATATTCTGCAATCAGTTAATTATTTGCATTTTAAGTAGAAAAGTAATGAAAAATGACCTTTTGAGCAAGTAAAGTACTTAAATGTTACAAACCAGTTTAATAATTTGAATTACTGAATTACAATTAAGTTTTTAATCATTATATCTCGTAGTTTTAAAACCTGTCATAGGGAGAGAAAATGGAATTTGTGTAAGAAAAATGTACAGAATTTATCTTGTACAACAAATGCAAAATTCTGAAAAGGCATATGGGGAGAAGGACAGTATACAACAGAAGCTTTCAATATAACTTCATTAAGGAATGAAAATCATGAATATGAAGTGTTGATTTAAAAATATTTGTAATGACGAGAATTATTAAATGAAGGAAAACAGATTATTATATGGTAGCATCTTTTAAATAATACAGAGATTTCTTTCTAACATATACAAGGTTAGCAGTTCACTGCGTGAAGCTTTTTATGTGAAAATGTATAGATGAAATGTTTTTTGGAGAAAAGTAATAATATATTTAAGAATAGATTATGAGCAAAAGTATTTTTAATAATCTCATTCTTTTTCATTCAAACCAGCTTCACTGCACCAACACAGTAGTGCTGGCTCTTGCTAAGAGATCTCAGGGCAGGTAGCTTAGCTATTGCCCTGAATTTAAGAAACAAGTTTTATGAAGAGTGTTGCTGCTAAGGGCTTACACAGCAAATTTGTAAAGCATTGCTTTCTTAGTGCATTTACTTTCATTTGTACTGAGGAGGAAGACAGTTCTCTGAACTTTACTATTTTCTGTACTCTGACAATTTTAATCAGGGCATCAGATCTTCCTGATTTCTTGCTGTTCCAAATAGGAAGTTTGTGACACCTTCTGAAACTTACTAAGATAGACAAGGCTGTTCCTGGCATTGATACACAAAAGATTCACTATCAGTTTATTATGAAACCTTAATGAAGGTGTTTCCTTCAGTTTCCTTTGCTGATGATTATTTTGTTTATCTCTGCAGGTCTCTCTGTCTGTCCCCTTTCTTCCCTTCTGGAGTTTTTTAAACTTACCCTGCCTAATTTCTAGATACAGAGGTTAGCAAAGGCTATAGTGTCTTCCACAAAATTTTCAGGGCTCCTCAAGGGATTGAATTACATACTGAATTATGACTCATGGCTGCATTTTGTGCCATTATCAAAATAAAAGCACTCACTCATAACTTTCACAAATTTATTTAGCACAGAGCATCTCTGGAATCACGAGAGCTGTAGTTTTCCTACAAAGCAATTGCCTGTATATGCAATATCTTCCTTATCTTTTTCTTCTTGAAAGAAAATTAATCCTGGAAAAAGACTCTCCAATGTAAACTTCAGTACACTTCTTGAAGTTGCTTGGAAGATTTTGTATTCACTCTGCACATCTTAAATCTATGTAAAGGAAAGATAACCTAAGTTACAAATGAGGTATCCTAGGTGTAAAGTAGTGCAATAACTGTGTTAGCCTGGTGCTTTTGTATTAACATTCCTGATTTCTTGCAGGAGCTAATAGTGTGCCCTGAATGCCATCCTGGCTGGCAATTCTTCTATTTCTGAGCTAGCTGTAGGGTTTTGTGCAGATACAACTGAAGTCTTAGCCTTAAAGATTCCTTCAAACTCACAAAAAGGCAACAGATTATTATGATTTTTTATTTTAAAAAGTCATATTTTAAAATCAGGCTTTGCCTCCTACATTGAAATGTTGATACTTGTTCAATATTTAATCTTTTTTAGGTCAATAATATCAGGTAGAATGCTGAAGACAGTAATTAAAAAACAAATACATTAATTAGATTGTTGATTAAAACCTATCTCTCAGTCTTTAAACATGATGTAAACTAAGGCTCAGTTGACATTAGGGACATAGCTGAAGCATCTGAGGAAAATTTAGGCAAAGTAGCTTTGCTAGACAGTTAACAGAGAAAAGGGGCACCTTCAGAGTTTGGTTCAGCTGAACTAAGATCTGAATTGCTCTTTGCCTGTGTCTCTTCGTTGACTGTAGGAGCCTGAGATGACTAGGCTCCTAACTTAGAGGCCTCAGGTAAGTGTCAAAAATTTATAATATTTAAGAATATTGGTTTAAAAATAATACTTATGCTGCCTGTGTGCAGTATATAGCTTCCTATTGATTAGTTAGGAGAAAAATATATGAAGTGTGTTGATACAAATACGATGGTCAAAATTATAGGTATCACAAATGAAGTCTGGCAGCTCTTTGGTTGTGAAATTTGAGTATAAATTAAAAGAGTGTATCATGACTATAACCATGGCTTACATTCCTTACATCTTTTAAGAAGTGCAGCAATTTACAGCAGAGAAGTTCTACATTTTATCCTGGGTTTTCATACTGCAAGTGCAAAGTACTTACTGTAGGTGATACTCCGCTATAGGTAATTGTTACACTTTTGTTCAGGGTAGAAGTTATTTAGCATTTAATATTTTAGAGGAAATAAACAGCATTTCTCCTTTAAATGCTGGCCAGAAGACTATTTTTTCCAGTAGTATGATCAGAATATTGGTGGGTTTTTTTAATTAAATGAGTAGATAAGAACAGACAATTAATGTATGATATGCTTGAAATATACACAGCTTGAACTCCTTATTATTGGTAAATATATTTCCCTACCCCACCTGCATGGAAATTGTCTTCAAATAGTTTTTAAAACAGATATTAAATGATTTGTCAAAGTATGCCAGGTACATAATTTTTCAGTAGTGTAATTAATTATCCGCTGAAGAAATTAAGACTTTTGATACATCTTTTCTATCTCTCCACGTATATTAGCTGGCAGAAGAGATATTCTGAAAGATGTGGGATGACAGACATCATTGTGGAGGTCATTTTAAGGTTGCTGGCCTTAATTATGGCTAGTATTAATAAGTCTTGATTCAGGCCAGTGAGATAAGAGTACATCCAGCCTGCATAAAGACTGACGTTGAAGGCAGACATTTAGTTAGATTCAGGCCTGAGGCTGACAGGAACTATTCTTCTGAGGATAAATGTAGGGGTAGGTTTGGGACTGACGCTGCCTAATGACGTTCATGGAGGATGTGTCTAGAATTTGTGACTGGGCTAGATAGAGAATTTAGTAATAATGTTGTTTGGTTAGGGTCAGGTGTGGGACTGCTGAGGAAGATGTACTGAATTAGCTTTGGAGTTAAGGTGGTCCATGCCAGCAGAAGTTGTTGGTTTATGGTAGGATCTGCAAAGGGCTAGTATCAGCCAGAGACATCTTGTTACTGCTGAGACAAGAGTTTTACAGGGATCACTGAGCTTGTATTAGGAATAGGTTTAAATAGGTATTGATTGGAAAAGAGAGTTATGATCAAGTTAAGAAGGATCAATTAAGCTAAGTATCAGTAGAACCTGACTGGTTTAATTATAAAGTTGGAATTTATCTCTATTTTATAGCCAAGAAAGGGGTGGAGATGAGAGCCAGGAATCACACTGTGTCAATGAAAAAAGTATAATTGAGGTTGAATCTGAACTGCAAGACTGATGTACTCTCCAATTCTGCCAGTACCCTAGTAGTCCAAAGCAGGTGACCTGCTTTGAACAACATGCCTTCTGCCTTGCTTTAGCCTCCTGGGATCCGCTTCCAGTAAGGCAAGGACACAGTATGGCTGTTCAGCTGGAGTGGGGAACTAAGAGGTAACTAGGAACAACTAATTTATTTCTAGGTGTGAGTCTGAAAAGAAGGTAAGTAGTCTGTCTGGGTTCAACACTTGGGCTGGGATGAAAGGTAGGAGTAAGATCCTGACCAGCTAGATCTGATGTTGAAGATGCTGATGTAGAGCAGCATCTGCTCAGGTCAGCTGAACTAGGTTTAGGGCTGATAATTGGCAGGATGGTAACTGGCTTTTAAATCAGAAGTTATAGTGATTACTTGTTTAAGGCTAGCATTGGATTGTGGCTTGGAGAGATTTTGGGCAAAAAAAGGTTGGATGAACTGGAGTTCACAATAATTAAAAGTAGTTAGGATTTCAGTCTGTATCAGCAGCATTGTTTTAGATTTGATTCCAATATGATGTTTAATAAATATCTCTTAGAATATGTTTAAGAGAAAGAAAAAGCCTGCTTATGTTGGAGGAGTTGATGTTTTCAAATACTGCACTTCCCCATGTCTTAGCATTCAACCTCCTCTGTCATCATGCCGTGAACAACAGTGTTACACATTACAGTAATACATTTTGGGTTTGCTCTTGCAACTGTTCTGATCTTTAACTTCCTCTGTTTCTAGTATACTGAAGAAAAGAAGCAAGTACCTTTTTTGCCAGATCAGCAGACTCTTTTCAGGTCTGAGTTCTGAGGACTGAGCTTTTCTTTTCAAGTTACCAGAAAAGGGCTTGTGCAGAGATGAGTCAGCACCTTTAAGCAGATTGCATTTGAGTGAAGTACAGGTAAAGCAAGTATAGATTGAATCCAATTATACAGCAACTGGCTTACTATCTAGTATGTCCAGCCAAGAAACTCAGAGGCCTCAATGCCCATCAGCTGAATTAAATCTTGCAAAATTTCATCTGTGCTTCAGGCTCTGTCCTCCAAAACAGGCTCACTGTAGGCTTTTGGGAACGATCCCAAACTGTGCACGAACACTGTTTTATGTTAGTTGGTGCAGGGCAACAGTGTGGCAGTAACAGTAGTGTGGAGGATCACGTTCAAGTGCCCAGAAAAGCTTTGACCACTGTTAAATTTGACAGCCTTAGAGTCTGAAAGACTGGAAGCCTATTTTTTTCTCAGTTTTTTTTGTAAAATATATTGACATTTGCATCTTGAAGCTTTTTTTTTTTTTTTTTAAGAACTTTTTATGTAGTACAAGTTATGTGGGAGCAAATCTGAGGTCTGGTTACCTGCTTGGAAAAGCAGGTGAGAGGCTGAATATAGCTGCAAGTATGGAAAGCATGGAGAGAGCAGCTACCATACCTAAACATTTACACCACCAGTTTTAGTCCTCTTTAGAAGGAGAATAATTTGGAGATGTGACTGTGTCACTTAGTTCCAAGTGCTCATTTCACTGTGATTACCCATCACAGTGCATCTATGTTTGTACCTCATTATACAAGAAGTACTGAAAAGCAGCCAACTTTACTGCAGTGTCACTTCCTTCCATTCTCCCCATGGAGTGTAATGACCATTTATAGTACCTGAGGTTTCTTGTGAAGGCCGAGGCAAAAAAAAAACACAACACCTGGCCAAAATACTGGCCAGTAAATTGTATTCTTCTATACTGCCATTAGTTGAATGTTCTAAGTGTAGTCTGGACATCTCTGGCTTTGTCATAAACCCTAGAGGAAACTCAATTTCTAGTTTTCATTTAAATAAATTAATTTATGGAAGGTGAATATTAACATTTTTTAAAAATGTTTTTTTATTAATCTACATATAAGCATTTTCATGCATCTCTTATATCTGAAGTCTACAGAGTGTATTTTAAAGTGTACTTAAGTACAGCAGTACTTTGTACCTGACAGCCTATGGAATGATAATTTGAATGTGTTTAGGAAGCTGTTTTCAGCAGAGGACATTTCATGATTTCTTTTAAAGCACATGGTAATACTGACTCTTACTATACTGGAGTGATCAAAAAGAGTTTTTAAATTGGTTTTACTGGGAGTTATCATAAATATATATATGTGAAATTTCCTTACGTTTTGCATGGACAAATTCAGTACTTAATAATTCCGCAGAAAAATAAGTTAACATTTTTCCCATATGTTTTTGAGGTTTTCTGTGCCTGTCCATTTCACTTGCCTTTGTGAACTTTTGGTATCAAACTGCACAGAACAATATTTTACAATAAATTGTAAAATTAAAATTATTCTTATGGGAAATGAATGATAATGTTAATTTACTTAATTCTAGGTGGTCTTGTCATTATAGATGCCTAAAAACATCCCACCTGGCCTTTGGGTGCCATCCCAGAAGGGCATGGGGTTCGCTATAATTGTGCTGAGGTATCAGCCAGCCCTGTGCTGATGGTTTGAAACTCTGATGGCAATAGACACACATGCTTGGGCAACTGGATCACTCCTGAAGTGACCATTGTATTAGGGTCTTCTCTACAAAAGTGTACCACCAAGGCAGTGAGAGGTCATGATGCATGAGGTTTGTGATTGTTCAGCAGGTTGTCAGCAATCAGGAAAGTTGACATCAGCATCTTTTTTTTTTTTTGCCTTTCCCACTCTGGACCTTGACCTTTTTCTGTCCTGTTTGTCTGGTGTTCCTGTTCTTCCTTATTATTAGAGCAGGCACCCTTGGTACATATGCTGGAACCCATAGAGGAGCTTTCAGAAGAGGAAAAAGGTAATGGTTGATTCAGCAAAAAATACAGTGGCATGTGTTTCTTGGAAATAAAAAAGGAAATATTTGATACCTGTGGTGGTTTTCATTGTATTTCAGCATGCTTATGTGATTTGGGTGGGAACATTCCTTGTTTGTGTCAGTCTCCTGTTTGCTATTTATGCTTGTAAATATTACAGTTTCCTTATCCAAATTCAATGTTTTTGTGAAAATCTGGCAAACTTTTTAAAGCAGGCGTATTCCATATGTCTAAAGGCACTTGGGCTAAGCAGAGCAAAAATGTTTGATGCTGATGCTATTGCAGTGGGTGCTCACTTCTTTTTCAAACTCTGCATAAGAGGGTAAAGAGTTCAGATAAAAGAAGGAAGTTGGTGGTGGAGGTTGAACCTGCCTACTTTCACAAACACACCAAAGAGACCTTTGCAAGTAATCTAAGTTACACCTACCTCTAAGCAGCCACAGATCCAGCCAGAGTTGTGCAATTCCAAATCAAATGATGTAGCCCAGTGTTGGCAGCTGTTCTTTTGCTTCATCTGAGGAAAACTTGGACAAGGCCACATTTACAGTGACAGAACAGAAAGCATTGATTCGTCCTTCATGGTATTCTTCTCTTGAAGAAGGCTAATAGTACTTTATGTGAAACACCAAATACCTGAATAGGATAATAATCTGTACTGTGTGCAAAAATCAAAATGAGTCTTGAACCTTATAGCCAATGAGTTTAAATTTTTAAGGGATTATGCTGTTTTGAAAGCAGAATTATTATTTGAATACATCTGTGCGTCACTGAGAGGTTTCCCCAGGGAAAATCCATTGACTCTTGAACAATCTGAAATAAAGACTGCCCACATATTTGCCATTCTTTCTGCTACTTCTCTTGCTTGCCATCATCTCTCTTGATGGATTGTCTTTGATTCTTCTGCTGTGCCTAAAGGCATGGCCTGCAGTACTAAAGAGGGAAGGAAAGAATGCGGTTTGAAAAGATGGACCCAGATTTTTTTGTTTTCGGTGACAGCCATTTGTAAGGGAGAGTGTGAAAATTCTTGACTTGGTACATTATTTCATAGAAATACGTAGGAGCTGAGACAGTGATCCAGACTTAGGGTCCCTTTTCTTCAAAGTTGTTAGATCTAGCATTTAGGGTTTGTTTTTTAAGAAACCCAAGAATGAGGGAGAAAATAGATCCGTAACTAGTTGGCTCTGGCAAAGAGGATTTGGCTTAATTAGCAAGAAAGAATATTTTCGTTAATAAGGATAATGCTGGATAGTCTTGTTACACATATTACTAGGTAGCAATTAGGAATTTTAAAATTATTTTAGATCTATTTTATTGTAAGGATTAACATCTGAGAGGGATGGGATTTTCAGAAGGCTCCTTGAAGCATTCAGTTTTATAATGTCTCCTGTCTGGCTTTCTGGGAGTTTTTCATACTACATAATGCACCTTTTCCTGACTGGGGATTGTCTGATAGATCTCTGTTTCCTCACCAGCCAGCAGTTTGCCTCTTCTAGGACTCAACTTTCAAACCACTTTTCATCCCACCTCTTTAACACAGATCTATTGGTATGGTAGCTGGACTGTCGCACACTTTTCAGTACCTATACTTCTTTCCAAGATTCATCGAAGCCAATCCTGCACAGTAACCTAATATACCATTTGTGTATCTTGAGGCTTTTTGGGGTCCTCTTCCTGGTGCTTATCTTTCCCTCACAGAAAAATGAAAAGTAAATGGAACTGCCTTTTAAGCAACCATTGTTTAAAAACAGAAAAAGTCACGTTTGTTTTGAAAGAAAACATTTAAAAGTCACAATATGGGCTTATTTCTTCATTTACATCTTTGTCTGCGGGCTGGCAAATGACTCTGCTGCCTTGTAAGGCATATTTGAAAGAGACAAACTCCTGCCCAAGATGTACCTTTCAGTTCAGGGGAAGTTGGGAGTGTGGTTTACAGTACACTTTTTTGGGATGTTGTATATGCTGACCACTGCCAAACAGAAGCAGCTACCATAGTCCTGCAGATCATTGGTTCACTTGGCATAAGTGGCATTCAGTAAAATTTTGTCTTGCCAGAAACCCTTTATAGGCAGGTTCCAAATGGGTATGTTCTGCTTCTTTACTTCCCTGTATGACCTTATAATACTTAGCCTAACTTAAATGTCAAGATTCTTCAATGAAAGAATCTGTCTAGGTAATTCTTTATTTCTTGCATAAGAGTTTCTGTCATTACTGATGCTTAAAGCAAGGGAAAAAGATAGAAACTTCTTTGTCTGCCTTCAAGTATGTATGATGTCATAGACCTGCATAGAAGAAAATGTGACACTGAACTTTGTCCTTGATGGAGTTTTGGAGAAAACCTCAGACTGAGGTTTTGTCTTTACCAAGACTTTTGAAAGTGTTACTACTTTCTGAAGATCCAGTTTCAGTAGGTGTTTCTCATTAGGGAACATTAAATTGTTTAAAGCTTTTCTTCTTTGTCATATTCCTGTTTTAATTCCTGCTAGACTTCAGCTTTGATTTGAGAGAACACTTTTAGAGAACTTAGTTATCAGAGGATAGTCTTTCATTATCAGAAGTTACCAAGTACAGTTCTAGTAGTAAAGATCTTTGTTGCTAATATTCAGGCATATAACTTTACAGTGATCCTGTAGCAAGAGAAGTAAAGAATACTTGTGGTGGTATGAGGTGCTGAGATATAGATTCCAGGTGAGCTGACTTCTGTAAGTTAGCCCAAGATTTTAAAAGGAATACAATTCCATGGAGACAAAAAGTGCACATGTATGTCTATGGTATTTATCAAAAAATGCATGCTTCAGAGCAGTTCTTAATTGTCCCATGTACTGTAGGTTATTCAAGTGTCTCTTAAGTGCACTTTTCCATTCTTATTTTAGAAACTGAGAGAGTTGATCGTAAAACAAGTAGAAGTAACCAGTATTTATTAAATGCTTTGAAGACTGATCCTTCTTTAACTAAAAAATTACGAGTGTTTTTGGAGCAAGCCTTGGAGGAGAAGCTGGAATCTTTGGGAATTAAAGCAGTAAGATTATTTTGAGTTATTTGAATCTTTGTCCTGCTTTTGCTATTGTCTTTCACTCTTGTACCACAACCCTCAACCTATAAAATCCAAAGCTAAATTTCCACATGTTACAACTAAGTGTAATTCATTAACCTGAGAGGATGGCCGTCAATTACAGCTGTGAAGGATATGGCAACACCTGTAAGTAGTGTTATCAACTTTCATGATTTTTATCCAAGCTTTGTAATACTTGAAGTTCGAAAGAGTGTATATGATTCTAGGATATAAATGCCAGAAATAATAGCCCCTCTGTTTACATTTTGTTTCCTTAGGGTGTCCGTGGTATCCCAAGTGATCGCTTAAATAAAATTTTGCACGCTGTTGAATCTGCTAGAGAATGCAGACAGAAGCAGGAGCCTGACTTTCACCGAATTCGAGAGCATCTTGAACGCCAAGTCAGCTTTAGGGCTGAAGAGAAATCATTGTCTTGTAATAGACCTGTTTCCTGTCCTCAGCTTCCTTCAGAAGGTTAAAATGGGTTTTGGCTTTTTCATTCTCTTTCATTTTATAACTGCTGTTTAAGGTTTTGCTTAACAACTTTTCTATATAGCTGCTTTCATAAATTGTCATATAAATATTCTATATAATTATGACCAACTAAACAGTTTTCTTTAAAGGGTTCTTGACATTGGGTTTAAATGCAGAAATCTTAGCTCCTGCATTGGCAAGATACATGGTAACTCTGAACTGCTTTGAAGAAAAAAAAAAAAACCTTTTTTCCTTCTTTTTTTGTAAAACTATAATCTGCAGCAGAGGCATCTGTACTTTGAGAAATTAAATATGAAAGAAATCAAACGTTCTTTCTAATGATGCAATAGCTAACTTCTCTTGTAGGTAAACAGCACAATCAACCGGGAATTTTCTCATCTGCCACACCGCGAAAACAAGTAAAACGCTCTGCAACTGCTGTCCACCCACCCGAACAAAGACCAGCCATCACTGAAAATACCTCTACACCCAAGTAAGAGACGCTGTTCTCACAGTACTCATAGCTTACGTATCCATCCTGTGGGTTTGGGTTTTTTTGTCTGATGTAACGATTTCCTGCTAATATTGAAAGAACTGGGCAAAGAATTCATATTACTTCTGTATAAACTTTATGCTTACTTAGTTGACTGTCAGTCTTGAAGCAGCTTGTCTTGTTATTTTTAGATCCGTGAAGCATTTGGGAAGTGTTGCTGCCAGGAAGACATCTAGCAACACGTATGTTTTGTTCCCTTGTATTTTTGAAGAAAACATTTTTGGTGACTGAATATTCACAAATGCTATTATTAATTAAGCTAAAACTATAACCACTTTCTGGACCACGTGTTTCATATTTAAAGTACTATTTGAGTGTGTTATTATAATCCCTGAAAGATAGCCTGTTCTGCTTTTATCAGATGTTTTCTTGGTTGTGAACTAGAGAGGAACATTCAGTAAAATCAGGCAGTATCACTTCCTTCAGTTTATTTCTCCGATGCTTTTTCTGACCCTGTTAAAAGCAGTTAAAGACTGGTGTGACCTTTTTTCTTCTGTTTATTGACATTTTCTTGCTATGACCAAAATTAAGCACAGTATTTCAAATTCCACTCACCTCAGATATGTCACTCTTTTATTTCCTGCACTGAAAAAAAGACTTCCTAAATTATTTTCATCTAACACAGTCATACCAGATGTTCTGTGGTGCAGATTCCTTGACTTTTATCTTTGCTCTCCCTGCTAAACAATTTGCCTGTCTTTGTTTGCTTGGCAAGACTTGTTATCCATTGACCTGTTACTTCATAAAAGATAGTTGCGTAGATGTCACATCTATGTAACAGATCATTTTATGGTAAATTTCTGAGTTTACTTAGCAGTGTGGTTTTTGTGTTGGTTTTTTTTTTTTAATGGTTTTATGGATAGTTAAAATATATTAGAGCTCTTGTTTTTTTCACTTAAGGAAAATGCATGTTATTGGAAAGGAAGGTTAAATAAATATATATATGTGTGTATGTATACATATGTATATGTGTGTGTGTGTGTATATATATATATGTATCAATGCAGTTGCTGAAACCCAGTAAGTCCTTGGGTTTTGTTTGTTTTGTTTTGATGTTTTGTTTTGTTTTGTTTTTTGCATAGAACTCCACCATTCAGTTCAGAAGAAGAAGTAGATGAAGATGACATTAAACAGTCTTACGTATCACTAGAATTACTGCAAAAACAGTCAAAACCATCAAGCAGCAAAGTCAGTGTTCTTCAGAAGGCTTCTGGCAAAAGCAATATGGATGGGACAGAGAAAAGTGAAATTGCTGAAACTGAAACACCTGCCAAAACTTCAAAAGGTTTTTTTCCCTACTTTTGTAGATGCATGCCCTAACAGCTGTGCATGATTTTCCATTTTCTGGTAATATTTCTGTGTTAGAAAACTTAATGAAGGCAGACTAGTCTAGAATGTGTATATATTTGTACACACTTTGTTTTTGCTTATATGTTTATATTAATATAGTACTTAAAGATGTAAGTTCAAATTAGATGTGCATCATGCTGTTTTATATAAGTGCAGAAAAAGACACAATCTTTGCCACAAAGAGCTTTCTTTTACTTATTCCTACTTTGTGGAAGATTCCCAGAATGTTTACAGTAAAGCTCCTTCCTGGTGAATGGAAATTATCATATCTTTTATGAACTTTAGGAACAGTTATTCAAAAGCTGACTGAACAAGTTGGAAAGAGTCTTTCTAACCATGGAAATAAGAACAAACCAGCTGGAGGGGTTAATGTGGCAGAGGCGTTTATAAAGAAAGAAGAGGTGAAAGAACTGAAGGTATCTCTTTTAGTAGTCATTATTATTTTATTAAATATCTGAGCTACATATATATGTGTGTTACTTTTTTTCATGCTGAAACTATCTTGAAACAGTGAATTACTTCATTCTAAAATACTGTTTTGGAATTACAGCTAGATAGTTTCTCCAGGCAGGTCTGCAGTGGTATATAGAAAAGGGCTAGCAAGTGAGCTGTGGCAAGTGACTTCTTCGTCTACACTGCTTATTACCTTGTACCATGACTGTTCTGGATTGTTACAGCTAGCACAAAGTTTGGGCACAATTGCTATCATTTTTATCTCCTCTTCTGAGACCCCACCTGCGTTCGCTACTGCAGTCGGTAGTGGGGCCCCCAATGTAAGAAGGATGTGGACCTTTTGGAGAGAGTCCAGAGGAGGGCTGTGAAGATGCTGAGAGGGCTGGAGCACCTGTCCTATGGAGGCAAGATGTAGAAGTTGGAATGACGGTACCGCCCAGCACAAGCAATCCAGGAGGTTCCTCGACAACTTCCTCCTGCAAGTAACAGAGGAGCTGACAAGGAGAGGTACCATGCTTGACTTTGTGCTCACCAACAGGGAAGGGCTCATTGGAAATGTGGCGCTCCAGGGCATCCTTGGATGCAGCGATCACGAGATGGTTGAATTTGAGATCCTCAGGACAGTGAGAAGAGTGTGCAGCAAGCTCACTGCCCTGGACTTCAAGGGAGCAGACTTTGGCCTCTTCAGGAACCTGCTTAGTAAGGTTCCATGGGGTATAGCCCTAGAGGGCAGGGGAGCCCAAGACTCCTGGTTGATAATCAAGGATCACCTGCTACAAGCTCAGGAGTGTTGCATCCCAACTAGAAGGAAGTGCAGCAGGAGGGCCAGGAGACCTCCTTGGGTGGATAAGGAGCTGCTGAGGAAAATTCAAATGAAAAAAGAATCTTATAGAAAGTGGAAGCAAGGACAGGCGGCCTAGGAAGAGTACAAGGATGTTGTCTGGGAAGCTAGGGACCAGGTTAGGAAAGCTAAGGCCCAGTTAGAATTAAACTTGGCTAGGGATATTAAGGATAACAGGAAGGGATTCTACAGGTACATAGCAAATAAAAAACAGACTGGGGAGAACACAGGCCCCCTCAGGAAGCTCTTGGGTGAACTGGCTACACAGGATTGGAGAAGGCTGAGGTTCTGAATGACTTCTTTACCTTGGTCTTCACTGGCAAAGGCTCTGACCACACCACCCAAGTCTTGGAAGGCAGATGCAAGGACTGTGAGAATGAAGGCCTTGGGTCCACTGTAGGAGAGGAACTGGTTCGAGACCATCTTAAAAATCTGAATGTGCACAAGTCCATGGGTCCTGATGAAATCCATCCGCGAGTCCTGAAGGAGCTGGCAAATGAAGTTGCTAAGCCGCTGGCCATTGTATTTGAAAAATCATGGCACTCAGGTGAAGTTCCTAATGACTGGAAAAAGGGAAATATAACCCCCATTTTCAGGAAGGGGAAAATGGATGACCCAAGGAATTACAGACCAGTCAGTCTCTGTGCCTGGCAAAATCTTGGAGCATGCTAAGGCACGTAAAAATCAACAAGGTGCTTGGTGACAGCCAGCATGGCTTCACTAAGGGGGAATCCTGCCTGACCAATTTGGTGGCCCTCTATGATGGGGCTACAGAACTGATGGACAGTGGTAGAGCAGCTGATGTCATCTACTTGGATTTGTGTAAAGCGTTCGACACTGTCCCACACGACATCCTTGTTTCTAAATTGGAGAGACATCAATTTGATGGATGGACCACTTGGTGGATAAAGAACTGGCTGGATGGCCGCACACAAAGAGTTGTGGTCAATGGCTCAATGTCCAGCTTGAGACCAGTAACGAGTGGTGTCCCTCAGGGATCGGTGTTGGGACCGGTCTTGTTTAACATCTTTGTCGCTGACATGGACAGTGGGATTGAGTGCACCCTCAGCAAGTTTGCCGATGACACCAAGCTGTGTGGTTCGGTTGATACGCTGGAGGGAAGGAATGCCATCCAGAGGGACCTTGACACGCTTGAGAGGTGGGCTGATGCCAACCTCATGAAGTTTAACCATGCCAAGTGCAAGGTCCTACACCTGGGTCAGAGCAATCCCAGGCACAGCTACAGGCTGGGCAGAGAAGAGATTCAGAGCAGCCCTGCAGAGAAGGACTTGGGGGTGCTGGTCGATGAGAAAATGAACATGAGCCGGCTTCAGTGTGCGCTCACAGCCCAGAAAGCCAACCGTATTCTGGGCTGCATCAAAAGGAGTGTGACCAGCTTGTTGAAGGAGGTGATCCTGCCCCTTTACTCTGCTCTCGTGAGACCTCACTTGGAGTATTGTGTGCAGTTCTGGTGTCCTCAACATAAAAAGTACATGGAACTGTTGGAACAAGTCCAGAGGAGGGCCACGAGGATGATCAAGGGACTGGAGCACCTCCCATATGAAGATTGGCTGAGAAAGTTGGGGCTGTTGAGCCTGGAGAAGAGAAGGCTGCGTGGAGCCATCATAGCAGCCTTCCAGTATCTGAAGGGGGGCTATAGGGATGCTGGGGAGGGACTCTTCATTAGGGCCTATAGTGATAGATAGAACAAGGGGTAATGGGTTCAAACTTAAACAGGGGAAGTTTAGATTGGATACAAAGAGGAAGTTCTTTCCTGTTAGGGTGTTGAGGCACTGGAATAGGTTGCCCAGGGAAGCTGTGAATGCTCCATCCCTGGCTGTGTTCAAGTCCAGGTTGGACGAGGCCTTGGGTGACATGGTTTAGTGCACGGTGTCCCTGCCCATGGCAGGGGAGTTGGAACTTGATGATCTTAAGGTCCTTTCCAACCCTAACTATTCTATGATTCTGTTCTAAGTTGGGTTTGTTCAGCCTGGAGAAGGCTTCAGGGAGACCCTCCAGCAGCCTTCCAGTACCTAAAGAGGGCTAAAAGAAATTTGGAGAGGGATTTTTTTACAAGGGATATGACAAGGGATAATGGCTTTAAACTGAAAGAAGGTAGATTTAGATAAGATTTTATGAAGTTCTTCACTATGCAGGTGGTGAGACACCAGCAAAGGTTGCCCAGAGAAGCTGTGACTGCCCCGTCCCTGGTAGCGTTCAAGGCCAGGTTGGACGGGGCTCTGAGCAACCTGGTCTAGTGGAAGGTGTCACTGCCTGTGGCTTGGGGGGGTGGGAACTAGGTGATCTTTAAGGCCGCTTCCAACCCAATGCATTCTGTGATTCATGTTCTAGAAACAAAGAGACCCCTTCTTTACTTGCTTTCCTATTATCTTGTTTTCATGGAGGAAAAAATTTACTTATCTAATAATTTAAAGTATTTTTGTTTCTAGAGCTTCATCTTATATCGAAGTTTTAAATGAGGGCGGGAAATTCCATTTTTGAGTATGGCATGTGTTCACAATACTGACACAACTTACTCTTTACCCCTCAGGCTCCTAGGGTCCCAGTCTTCCCCTCAGTTTATAGTTTTATAATTGGTAAACTACTATGGTACACATTGATCTTTGCCTGAACGATTTTTAAAAGGAAAAAAAATTACTCCAATCCAGAAGTCAACAGCAGATAATGCTTTTTATTCGACTTCTAGTAGTTGTTATTAGATTGAAATAGACAGCCAGACACTAGTTCTAGCATTCAAGAAAATATTTTCTTCACTAAATAAACAAATAATAGTTACTGAGAATCCCGTTATCCATTATAAAACTGATACTTTAGGGCTTCCTGGCTGCCAGTTGAATATGAAAATTATCACTCCTCCCAGAAACAGTGACACTTCTATTTCAGTTTCCAGAAAGGGGCGATTGTCTCAATCAACTTTGGATGTAATTGTAGGGCAATCACATTTAGCCTTTGTGCTTTTGGTTTTTAGTTGGTGACACCTAATCTGTCTATTGACTGTGTGGGAGCTACAGATTCCACCAGAGTCAAAATTACCAACTCAGACATGTCTATTTTCAGTGTAATTTTATGTAGAAATGTAACTTTCAGATTCTCTGCAATGTCAGATAATACAAGACTGTAAAATGTTCATAGTTAAATTTATGGGATGTTAGATTTTGTAAAGATCTATAGACAGTGAGCCACTATGTTAAAGTTTCACATGCAAAGAACTGTAGCAAAATAAGCCTTAAAATCTGTGGTTTAAAGTGGTTACAGTTTTCACTGATAACCTTTCTTACCACATCCCTCAAGCCCCTGGACCTCAAGGCAGGGACTGGGGGCATGAAGTCTTGGAGAAGATCGGGTTTGAGACCACCAGAGGAACCTGAACCTCCATGGTACTGAAGAAGATGCTGCCCAGGGTTTTAAATTGGCTGATGCAGTTGCCAAGCCACTCTCCATATTTGAAAAGTCATGGCATTCAGGTGAAGCCCCTGACTGGAAAAAAGGGAAACAGCAAACCCATTTTTAAAAGGAGTAAAAAGGATCACTGTGGGAACTACCAGCCGCTCAGCCTCACCTCTGTGCCTTATAAGATGATGGAACAGATACATTGAAACACACAGAAGACTGGAAGGTGATTGGAGATGGCTGACATGCCTTCACCAAGAGCAAATTGTGCCTGGCTAATCTGGTGACCTTCTGTGGTGGAGTGACTGCATCAGTGGATAAGGGAAGGGCTATGGATGTCATCTTCTGAACTCTGGAAGGCAGTCCCCCCCAGCATTGCTACCTCTAAATTGGAGACATCGGGTTTGATGGGGGGACTGTTAGATGGCTAAGGAATTGGCTCCGTAGCCGTGTCCAAGGAGTTACACTCGGCGGCTCAATGTCCCAAGTAGAATCCAGTAATGAAGGTGTCCCTCAAGGTTGTTCTGTACTGGGTCCAGTACTGTTCAGTATCTAATGACATAATGGGACTGAGTGCCCCCTCAGCAAGTTTGCAGATGACACCAAGCTGAGTGGTGCAGTTGATGCACTGGAGGGAAGGAATATCATCCACAGAGGCCTTGACAGGCTTGAGAAGTGGACCAGTGTGAAACTCATGAGCTTCAGTAACGTCAGATGCAAGGTCTTGCAGCTGCGTCGGGGCAATCCCCAACATCACCACAGACATGGGAATGAATGTATTGAGAACAGCCCTATAGAGAGAACTTGGGGATATTGGATGAAAGATTGGACGTGAGCTGGCAGCGTGCACTCACAGCACAGAGGGTCATCTGGATTGCATCAACAGGAGTGTGGCCAGCAGGCTGAGGGAGGTGATTCTCCCCCTCTACTCCACTGTCATTGAGACCCCTACCTGGAGTATTGCTTCTAGCTCTGGGGCCTGTGGACGTGGACCTGTTGGCGTGAGTCCAGATCATATATTCAGGTCCATATGTGTATGTTTAAGTACAGATGTATAGTTCAAGTTAATTCTTCAAATTTTAGGAGGGATATTCAAAGGTGCCCAAAGACATAAGCACAAATTGCCACTGGAATGATGGTTTCTCCAAAAATCCAGAGGGGTTTTATTAGGTTAAATACTAATAGCTGAAATACAGCTGCTAATGGTCATTCTCAAAACCTACAGTACCATAAACCTTTATAAGGCAACCCATTGTGGTATGTTTTATAAAGGTCATGTTTCACAGAAGTTACTTCAGAAGCATTTTAGAGAAAATGAATTTTGTACTTACCTGAAGAGGTATGACCTGAGTTCACCTGTACCAGATGTTGTGGTTAATGGTATTTCTTTTAGGGTAAGTCCTGGACTTAGTAAACCTGCTTAGCACTTTGCATTGCTGCTGTGTATTTACACTATTGGTGATTTCTGTTTGAAGTTGACCTTTCTTCTCTGTATTTTATACTTTAAAAATCAGTTGAGACTTAGTGAATATTTGATGAAACTTCCTCCAGCATTTCTTAGTCTATGTGACTTTGACTTTCTCATTACCACACCCTCTAAACGCAGATAGTTTAAAACAGCGAAATGTTGAATCGTGGTATGTTAATAATATAGCACACTGATCAGATCTGTCAGGTTTTGAAAAAGTTTGCATTGTTAAAATAGAGTTATGTTGCAAGGTAGAGCGCTAGTGCAGTCTCTTCCCTTCTTTCGAGACATATGACACATTCATATTTGTTGATTTTTCTCTACTATGTACATACCTCACATTGTTTTGTAATAGCATCTGAATCTTTCTGCTGTGCAATAGAAGCACTTTCTGCATCTTACTGTAATACTGAGAGGCTCCAGTGAAACAAGGTTTTAGTTTTGTGGGGAAACATCTTTCACTTTCCCCAGTTAGGCTCTCTAATAATGGCATGATTCCATTGAACCATATCTGATTGACAAGCAGGGAAATGCTGTAGTCTTCTTTCAAAAGCTGAATGAAGATACATAGTTTTCAGGCAGATGAGGTAAGGCAGACCTCAGGCTTACTGCCCTCAGTTTCTTCTGTTTGACTTGACTCTCATTTTGTGAACTCACTATGCAAATCCTCCACTTCAATGAAAATATGCTTGTACATGCTGACGGTGAGTGTTAAGAGGAATACATATTGTAACTTCAAGCACATGTGGGTTTTTAAACTTTCATTATTTAATTTTCTCTTTAAATCAGTTTTAAATTGAAAAGGCTTTCATTGCAATGTGAGATTTTTCTAATGTGAATACAGAATGCTTCAATAGCAAACTGAACTGCCAGCTTGCATGAAAACATATCATGTCTTTTGGGTTTTAAAATTATGGTAATAGATGTCATAAAGGGCATGTGCCAGTGCGTTTTTCTGTAGCAGTTTCACATTGTTGAGTATATGGAAGATCCCAGCACAACTTGAATAGACAGAGGAAATACCCATGTTTTTTCTTCTCTCTGTTAGTTCACTGAAGTTGATGATGATGATTGGGATATATCATCAGTAGAAGATGACATTTTATTGCTGAAAGACAATAGAGGTCAGAAAGCATTGACAGTTCAGAAAAATGAGTCAAATGCTACTTCTACAGTACATGCATGGGCTGTTCCGAAGACAAATGTGCCAAAGGAGGAAGGTAACACATTTGTACTTCTACATTATAAGCTTTAAGCAACTGACACACCTAAAGAACAACTCGAGTATAGTGTATTACACTTTGTAATTCAATATATGGTATTTTGTAAGAAAGGAACATGTAAGAACAACTTTGTGCTTGGTTATATGTCATGTAAATATCATGTGTGATATTTATGATACATACTTGTATGTAAATAACACACCACAAATACACAGAGGTGCCAAGAAACTTAAGTTTGAGATTTAAAAAAAGTATAGTACTATCAGGTTTTGACCTCATCTTAAAAATCAAGTATCCTGAGGCTTTTTTAATCCCTTCCCAAATTTAAGAGAGGAGGGAAACATTCTTACTTAGTCTTGATAATAATAATACTAAAATTTCATGTTTGTTCAAGCTATCTAAGTGACCTACCAAGCTGAGATAAATATTTGAACTACTGGTAAAGCAATAGCCTCAATCTTCCATAGAACTTACATAGTAGTTTCTAGTGTTAACATTTCAATATATGTAAAGGTTAAAGCTGTGTCAGTTATGTAAAGATACTTCAGATTATTTTTAAAGGCAAAGTAACGTTGACACTGACTGTACTGTGCATTGTACTCTGTGACAGAAACTGCCTTCATGTTATCAGCACTTGTAATTTCCTCATTGGTTGAAATTCCGGACTTCCTGAAGTCCACAGGTGTTTGTTCACATGGCTTGTCATTTTATCTCATAGATAAATACAAAGTAAAAATACCCCCAAAATAGTGTTAATAATGGTTAATATTGTTTTGTTATTCTAACAGGCCTTCATGAAGCTGATAACACAAGCACATTAAAAAGCAGCTTAGTCACTGTAACAGATTGGAGTGATTCTTCAGATACATAATAGCTGTGTTCCTGATGGGAGGCACTACTTTTGGATTCAGTTGGCATTGAAAATACAGCTGAAAACTTCAAGTGCTTCCTATTCATTTCTCATATTGATCACAAAACGAGGAGTACTGTTTGCAGAACTCTGTTGTCTTCAGTCCTGAATTTGAAACAAGAATACTCATCTACATGTTACTGGCCATGTCTGTTCGGAAATTGAGAGTTAATTCTTCTTTCTTGTGAATTCAATGGTGAAAGTCTCTTTCATGTCACTGAGGTGAATATTTTGCCTCTAATGTTTACATTAAAGATTGAAACTGGTCTTGCAGGAAAGCAAGTTAGCCGGTGAACAGAATTTACTGCAGAGTATTGCTTTACAAAAATTTTAAACACATATTTTCTTGTATTTTATCATAAACTTTATATAAAATGGTGAAAATTTTAAATACAGTAATTCCATTTATTAAAATGTTAAGTTTTTACCATGGTTTACAATAAACACCAAATGGAAAGGAAAAAAAAAAGGCCTCAGCTCTAAAACTGATTATTATTGAAAGCCCCATATTGTGGGAATATTTTATTTTTTATTATTTATCAATTAGAATTGGTTCGTAGTTTACATAAAAGCACAAACATTAGAAAAAAACCCCACACCAAAACACAAAGCTAAGGTGAGGAAAGCACTGACCTGCCAGTGCGGAAGTATTTTCTTAGTTCTGTTTTGTTCATGTTGGCTGCCTTCTTAAAAAACACAATAGTGTTTTGACTTTAATAAAATACAAAATAAAATAAGAGGAACGATTGGCTTTGTAGTTCTGATGCATTTTAGATGGTGTCAGGTAGAAAACCTTTTCTGTCGTACTGTGCCATTAATAAGTAGGGCTATTAATTTTTTATATTTATACCTTTGTTCCAAAATAACTAATGCATTGAAACTCCAAGGGTCCCTCAGTTCAAACCTCAAGGCAGACCTGAGTTTGTATGTGATTTTAAGGTCTCAGTCTACAACGCATTTTGTGGTTTATCCGTAACCTCCGATCTCATTTACTGACTCATTGTGCAAGTATTCCCTCAAAAACCATCACATGCTGGTGGACAGGTAAAAAATAAAGTACTAGCTGATTTTTTTAAGTGTTGTAACTAATTCAGTGCTGTTAAGCGTTGCCTGCTTTTATTTGGTCACTTTGAGGAATGTCAGTGGTGGAGCAGGTGGTATTGCCCAGGGTTTTGCTTTCCTAACCCAGTGGCTTGGAGCCACTCTGGAGCAAAAGATGTCCATCCTGCCCAGCCTGAGGAAACAAAACCAACCCCCCCTGGAAGTGATTTGTCACCAGCAGGGGTGAGTGCTGGGGCAGGGAGGAGCTCACTGCCACAAAGCAGGTGCGGAATGTAGGAACCGTCTTGGAACCTTGGCTTCCCCACCACAAAATTCCCTGTGGGCTGCAGTTTCACTCAGCCTCTGCTTGCCCCACCACACACATGAAAGCTTATGATCACGCATGCTTCTTCTCATGCATACATTCTTCTTAGGCCATGCAAAACCCTCTGCAGTGACTATTTTCATAACAGCTGGCCCTGACTTTTCTTAATGCCTGCTCTTGCCTCCCCAAATCCCATACTTATTTTCACTCAGTCGCTTCCTACTCCTATGGCACCACATTGATCAAGCTGCACATTCTCCCACCCCTGTAGCATGATAAGGAGATAAGAGCCTCCTAATTTCCACTGACTCTGGTCAGCTGGACTGCTATCCCAATGTCACTGCTAATCAATGGTGAGATACTTTATGTGTTAACCTGCAGAGAGTGTGGTTGGTTTGTCCAGTACTGAACCCAGTTCAGAAACGGATGCAGTCAAAATGATGCATGTGATGCCACTCCCATAAACAACTGACAAGCCAAATTGGTAAATACGTCATTTATTTTTATGAAGAATGCAACATCAGCTCATGATTTCCAGGTATAAACTCTACAATACCAACATCCATCGTAAAATACAATAAAATTTACATCAATATGTAAAAAGCTGCAAGTTAATGTTTTAAAAAGTCATTGTCTTGGTGGTAAGTACATTGGAGTAAAGGGTGGGGGAAATCACTCTGAATGAAACATACAAACTCATCTTTAAAACGCTCAGAATCTTCCCACAGTACACTTAAACATAAGCATTCTTGTCAAAGTGCTTTGGTGTGGTTTTGTCTGGGATGGTGTTCTGGACCTTTGTCCGAGCAGACATCACAGATGTGGCTCCGTTATATGCGTATCCCCTCCTGAAATGAAAAGAGAATCAACCATTCACAGCTTATCCCACAGACAGAACACATCTCTGCAGCCAAGTGTTACAGTAACATAAAACTAGATGAAGAAGAATGTACTTCCAACAATGATAAATCTCAAAGGAGTGTGAAGGGGGACACCTTTCCCTGTGTAGTCTCATCCTGGTTTGACATTCTGCCTCCAGCATCTCTCTTTGCAACTCACTTTTCTATAAACGCATATCCGTTGTTCACAGCTAAGTAAATTAGGGTCCAATCATGAAATATTTGAGCTGTGGCAGATCCTATGAAGTAGTTAGTCCCTGCAGCTGTGCCTCATTATCACCCTCTTCTGCTGATGGAGGTCCTGCTGCCACCACTGCTGTCCTTCACTTCTCTCCCTTTTGATCTGATGATTTGGATTAAAGAAACTTGTCTGTTCACACCTATGAAGTGACCTGACCACTTTTCCTACATCACTGAATGCATTTTTTCTCAGCTGCAGTAAATTCATGAGGTATATATAACACAAATACTTGTTTCAATAGCTTTCCTTAATTACATTAATGATGGACAGAGCATTGTCCTTAAATCCCATTATTTTTCTACATCCACACCATCTTTTTCTGACCCGCACTACAAGGTGTTTTGGAAAAGTAATCAGACCGTGTACATATAGTGGATACAAATGTGCTAGTATTGCTTTCTTTGGATAAGGACAAGTCATGTTTTACCTTGGAGAATTGCTGTTTTCAACTATTGAGCAGCAGAATATACTGCCACCAATTATGCAGAGTGAAGCTCCAGCCCATCCAATGAACAAAGCTGCTCCTAATTCATACCTGCAGGAAGTTAATAAATGGGTTTAACAACACAGAGCATGGATTTACAGGGGTTGGTGTTTTTCAGCATAAAAGAACTAAATTTTATTTGTTCCTGAATAGCTTTCCATTGACACACATTATTCATTGCAAAATCAGCAGCTCCGCCACTCACCCACATTCTGTTCATTATTCCCCTCTTACTTGGGTAGCAAACTCTGTCCCTGTGGTACATTTGGGTGATGCTTCTCTCCAGGGTGCCTGGCTTTCCCACATCTCCTCCTGGATTGTTTGGCTGTGGCATCGTGTGATTCTTCAGTGCTTTTAAAGCACACAGCTCCTGTCACCTTGGAGCATTTCAGGTTTGTTCCTGATGGCTCCCAAATTGACTGGGGCTTTGCTGAGCCTGTGACTAGAGCTGCTGCTGCCAACAGCTCTCCTTAACTCTTCCCTCTGGCTTGCAAGATCTCTCCCCCTCCCTATCCACACTCAGCCTGCTTAAAACACAAGTGTTTCGTACATATATGGAATACACATATGCAACATATATACACACATGTGATATATGCACATACACATATAGATGTAGCTGATATATGCATATACAGATACATACAGACATGCACACATATGCAGGTGTACATCTGTGCACACATGCACATGTGCACACGCACATGCCAGCATCTTTCTGCTTATCTAGTCCCTGTGGCTGAGTTCTGTCTCCTTTCTGAGCCGCTGGGCTCAGCTCCACGTCACCAACAGGCATGCCCTCTGCTGCCAGGGCAGCCACAAAGCGTTTGCAGCCAGAAACAGCTCACTTTGAGATTGAGAGAGATGGTGGTGCTTTAGGAGCATTATCACACAAGGGTGAGTCCAAGCTTCTAAAGTAACAGTAGAAAACGAAGGAAAAGAAGGGTGTGGGGAAGAGACTCTTTCCTTATCTTTGCTCAGCACCTACAGCCTGATCTCTGGAGCTTCAAGACAAGCAGCAAACCATGGCTGTCACTTGTCTGGTCCATTCCCAACCTCTTTGCCTGATTTACAGCTCTTTAAAACACTTTCAGGATGACCTGCATTAGAGCACAGGCCCAGCAGTCTCTTTCTTACTCCTCACTGTTAGGACAGATTGTGTGTCTCTTGCTCCTTCTTCTCTGCTCCAGTTCCTCCTTGAGGAAACCTTTATCTCTTCCTGACTCCTGGCATCTTGCACTGAAAACACAGGCCCCTATCCCTGATTCATCCACAGTTACTGGTCAGGTGCCTGTGCTGTTCAGGCCTTTGTTAGTAAGTCTGTTTATTTAGTGTAAGCTCTGGTGAGGTAGCCAAATGAAACCCTCTGCTTGACAGCCTCCCTGTACAACTGAACGACTGCTCACAGTGCAGCTGCACGCTTTTCAGCTAGTTCTGAACACTTCCATGCGAAGAGACCCTAATATCACATAAGCCAAAACACGTAACTGAAAGCACCTATGAGCTGTTGTACTAAACTTGTGCCTTTACAAAGGTGACACTGCAGCAACACTCAGAAATTGCCCGTGAGCACAGACACCCAGAAAATGATCTAGCAAATTCTGTAACAGGTTACAGGAGGGTGAACACCGGCTGGAGAAGAAACAGATCACTTTTCCATGTTTCTGAGAGTGTAAACAAAGGTTAAGCACAGACTTAAAAAAAAAACAAAAAGGCACACAGGATAAAAAGCCACACTTAGGATACCAATCCTGGATTCTATGAACATCCAGGTTCAAGTCATTGCTGACTCAGGACTTGCTGCCAACAAGAGATGGAGACACTGGAGCTCAGAGGTAGGACACTGGATGACGGCTTGCTCGTGACTCTTCATGGCCCTGCTAATGCTCTAACCTGTAGGCTTCTTCATTTTCTGTCCCTATCGTCTAACCAGAGTTTTTATTTATCACCCCTTGCTAAAAAAAAAGGACCAGATTTCTCCAAACATTTTCAATACCCAGTGTGGGTGGGACTTAGGCACCCAACCCCCAGATTAAA